CCCCAAGTGGCGTACTTGGGACGATGGAAATCCAATGTCATACTCCAGTACGCCGAGGAAGCCTTGGAGACGATGCCGGTTATGGCGCGCTCGAGAAGAAACACGGGTACGCCACCGTCGAAGACGGAGATCATCACGAAGACGACAGAGGAACCGGGCACGAAGGTCTTGGAGAAGGTGAAGGAAACCGGAGCCAAACTGAAAAAGGAGATCGAACAACTGAGAGCAATGCAAGACAAGTTGGACGAATCCATTGACAAATGGGAAGAAATTTCCATTCGACATCAAGGGCTACTACCACCTGTGGTGATTTCAAAAGCTGGTTTGGTGCATGAGAACAGACGACAACCAGTGGCTTCACCTGTGACGGCTTGGCACACGAGGTGTGGATGGCCCTATGGTTCTTCAAATTTCTGCTTTGGCCAGGACATCACGACGGTGACGTGCTTAAAGTGTAAGACCCTTGCGCTGGGCATCGAGGAGAAAAGTGGCAAGGGTGGAGGTTGAATGAGCATGGAAGATCATGCACCTCTGACACCAGCGTTCGAAAAGCGTGCTTGAGTTTGAATTTGGGTGGATAGCACACCATATTGTCGTGGAAGAAAATTGAAGATTTTCTGTAGGACAAACTTTGGTGTGCTTGGGTGGGGGTCAGGGCTGCTCGTGCCATTTTGGCTCAAGCCCTGACCCCCACCATGATGAATTTTTCCCACCCACCCACTCCATAAAGGAGAGGAGAAAAGTGGCAAGGGTGGAGGTTGAATGAGCATGGAAGATCATGCACCTCTGACACCAGCGTTCGAAAAGCGTGCTTGAGTTTGAATTTGGGTGGATAGCACACCATATTGTCTGCATGAGTAACTTTCCCAGTCCCGTGTCTTTTGCTCAAACATCGGTAAGAGGCAAGTGGGAGGAGTCAGATTCCGCGACTTGCATAGGAAGCAACAGGGATGGATCGGCCGTTTTTTCGGTGTTCCATTTGCAACTTTGGTCAAGCAAGGAAGGCCAATTAGCTTGCGTTCGGCAAACTGTCAGATTAAACCTGATTTCCTTCCAAAAGATCCGATTACAGTGCCCTGGTCCCTTGATGTTGGCATTTGATATGCTCATGGAGAGAGACTTGGATGCTGTACCAAGAGAGTTGAGTAAAGCCGTGAGAACCTTCCACGGCATGTAAGTCCAACCCCTACATATCCTTCACGAGACTCGGACACCGTCGGACACCCGAAACAAAGCGACACTGGAAAACCGTGTGATTGTTTTGACTCAGATCCACTGGCGTCCTGAGGCTGTTTGCAGTTTGCCGCTGGGCAGCCGCATCACATGACGATAGCATGATTCCTTTGCATCATTTTTCCCCGCATCATCATACTTACGCGCATCGCAATTTTTAATTCAATCAGCTACATCATGTTTGTTGATTGCATCGCCGTATTCTCCCAATTTAAACCTGCCCTGGGCCAGTGGGATTGTCGGAGGGCCACCACTGATGTTTAAATATGTGTAAGCAAGTTAGTCTACTGTTGGACTCCGTTCTCTATCGACAATTGACATCCTTCAATCACAAGACTGGAACATGATGTTGAATGCTGGGACCAGAACCAGCAAGAAGAGTCCTTCATTTCCATTGCCCAAAACTAGATTAATGATCACCCGTTAACACCAAGCTCCAGTTGTTCTGGAGAGCTAGGCCCTGCTGACTGTTCAAGCTCCAACCGTCAACCGAAACCTCACTCACTTGAAGCAAAAACGCTGGAGTTGGGAGTTCTCCATACTTGGAGACATACCCGCTTCACTTCTCATGAATGTTCATTTAGGGTTCTATCATGTACGCATGTTGGGCCGTGCTCAGTCGAGCCTCAGGCACATCATCAAAATCAGCAACCCCACATTCATCGATACGTGGTGATCATCAGTAGACCCACCCATTGCAGATTGTGGGCCCAGCAGGGTCACCTGGCCACAAAAAATCTCACTTGCAGGTAAGGACGACATCCATGTCCATGGGGAGACGGTGACCTTCGAGGAGAGGGGGATGGATTGGTGGTCAGCGCTTGGATATCAAGGCTTGTAAAGAGCACTTGACCCGTTGTTCAGATATAGACACCCCTTATATAGAGTAGCCTAAGTGCAATTTGAGTTTTTCCACCACTTAGTTTATGGGCCCCGTTACTTTTGGAATGCATTGTGGCTGTGGATCACCCCAGTGATGGAGCTGATACAGTCACCCTATCATTTCCACCATCGTTTAGAGGTAAAGACCGATGGTGGATGCAAAACTCGAATTGCAACTTTCTCGTGCGCATCACTTTTTCAAGTCAGAACGACAGAATAACTTTCTGCTCACAGAAAGCTGCAAAAAATAAACATGTGCAGACAGATTGAACAAATGCTACATCTCTTCGGCGTAGTTCACCCCGGGGATGTGGGTAATGTGCTTGAGATCGGTGGGATGTGATGCATGAACTTCCCATGCATTGCATGCGGGACTTTCCAACTGTTGGTTATCCTTTGGCAGGGAACACCACAACTGCATACGACTTGCACAAAAGTAAGAGGAGAAGCTGCTTCTCTTCACCATAGGCCCATGGGTCTTTAGTTGGGCCGTATAGAACATGCCTCATGTGTCAGACCCCTGTGTTTACCTTGTTTGCAGGTCTCAACACATCTCAACACAATTACTGTATATATATATTATGTATATACGACTTCTAGCTGCTCAGGTTCACAAAAAGAATCATTTCAACCTCGATCACTGGGGGCTGAGCGATGATGTCCAGCGCCCGGTCAGGAGTTCCAACGATATCTTGCTGATTTCTCCACCATCGAGAACATCATTCAAGAACATCACGTGCCGATGAAGCTTAGACATAATATTGAGATGTATTGAGATATTGAGATGCTTTATGATATTAAATATGTTTTCCTTTGTTCTTTAAGCGTGCATCTCTGCGTTCCATCGACGGATAAGCCACCAGATTCTCCGTGGCACCAACCATGGCGCCACCGGACCAAGCAGAAACCATTCGCGGCTCCGCGGCTCCTTGTTCCGGCGTCCTTGCACGTCCCCAAGCCAGACACTAGTAGCATCCGATCGCTCCCTTCGTGGCGATGCCCTTTCTTACTGGTAGGTTCTTGCTCCTAGTAGTAAGGCCAGGATCCACTAGTAGCGTTCTTGCTACTAGTAGTAATGCCAGTAATGCCAGACACTCCACGGGACTGGAATTATGCTTTATATTTGTGGTCATTACATGGGAACGTTAACAATTCCAGTGGCAGTGGATGGTGTGGACACGGGACATCGTGTTTTGTGTAGAACACGTGCTTCCTTTGGCGAACTCTTAACGTCTCAACCCAACCCAACCAGCCATGGAGAACGGGGAATCTGACTGTACTATATTGGTGACTGACGCGAGCAGCCGCACTGGTCTTATAAGCTGCGAGACCAGTATCCAAGAAACATCATCGTGATGGATCAAGGGGTCTCAGCATGTGGGCTGAAGCGGGGGCCTTTCAAAACCTTCCTTTGGAAGCGTGGATGGTGAGAAGTTTAGTACAGTTAATAAATACGGTTGCCAGGGACACGCACTGCCTGCTGTGTCCTTGGAATCAGGCATCAACATTTGGTGCCTGGTGAATATCACAGTGAAACAGTATCCTTTGGCGGTTGGGTCAAGTAACTAATGTAGACTCTTGATTAAACTTATCACAACTCCCCATTGGGTTTGTAAGACCTGGATATGTCGGCGTAAGCTATCCTAACCGCACATGGGCGGCCTCAGAGGTCGGGTCACGGCGGGGGGTCTGGATCATCCGGGTCGCTTGAAGGTTTGACCTCTCATGTGTTTTCACCCAAAGGCAAACCACTACGAACAAGAAGCTCTTAGGTCACAAAGGGCATCGCTGCTAGTAACAAGGAGGCTACTAGTAGCTCCTGGCATCGCTACCAGGAACCAGAAGCTATACTACTGTCAATCTGTGTGACTCATCTTTTTCTCTCCGTACACCTCTCCGTCGCAAACTGCACATTGACCGCCTGAGGAGCCAAGCTTCTTTTGGAAGCGAGCGGGCTTCGTCATTGAGTCCTTAGATTCGATTGAGGCGACCATCAGCCCAAAAAAAGGTAATGATTGGTTTGTCTCATCTTCCATGAGCTAACCTGGGCAACTGCCCAGAGTTTTCCAGCTCCTTGGATATACCTCGTAATTTGGTTCCGGAATTGCCAGTCGATGCGCCCTTGAAATTTTCTCACTGACGATAAACAAAAGCTACCTACTGGACAAAATCAGGACAAAGCTACCTACTAGATCTTGTTGCTGACTGGGTGTCATGGGACGCCCGTTTTGCTTTCTTCCCGACGTCATGGGACGTCATGGGACGTCATGCTGAAAGGCTGACCGTCAGTGCAAAGGCGCGGCATTCCCCACGTTTTTTTCATGCGTGGTTTCTGTTTGGAACGGAGTGACTGACCGGTTCCATCTTTAATAAATGTTAAAATATGTTAAACAGAATAATTAATGATATAATATGAATAGTTAATATGCAATATTATATACAAGCCCAAATTGGGCTGTGTCGCTTCCCTTCACAAAGGTCTTCCAAGTTCCAGACAGGTTTCACCTTCAGCTGCGAGTAGTAGGTGCCCTACTGTGGCTGCGTGCATTAGAAGATTTTCTAAGCGCTCGAGATTTTGACGCGCCCGGAGACACTGAGGAGACTCTTAATTTGAGCTGAAGCATTCCCGACTCCAAACCCAACCCCCAAAGAAGTTCTAAAAAGAAGGCGCTGCGCGCGGAAATGTGCTGTGCTGGGAAATGCAACAGAATGTTTACAGGTCGTCGTTTCCGGATACTGTAAGGACGCATATGAATGGACAGGGATGATCAATGATTTCTTGAATTAATCTAATAGGTCAACTTATAGAGGTTGAGATACTGTAGATCCGGACGGTTACCTTTGGTTACCTTGAAACCAAAGCCTGCCCAAAGCGACCGAACCAGGCTGCGGAACTGGCCACGGAACTGGACTCGTCAAGCTGTGGGGACCAAAAAGTGAGCCGTGGGACATCGTGGGACGCGTTCTGGGTGGTTCGTAGCGTCCTTGCTCCTAGCAATGCCAGGAGCCCCTAGTAGCAAGACTAGTAGTATGGCCAGGAGCCCCTAGTAGCGTCCTTGCTCCTAGTAGCGATGCCAGGAGCCCCTAGTAGATTCTTGCTCCTAGTAGTATGTTTCATATTATATGTTTTCCATGTTCGCTGGCACTTTCATGAAGCTGCCCGACTCGGAGCTTACCAAAAGCAGCGAGATATGCAGTAGAGGAAATGTGGATTTGAACCGTGTCCTAACGGTTTTAGGCACTTCTCACGGCTCAACATACACATCAATGACCAACCACAGTGGAAACTGGTCGGCTAGGACTGCAACTACAATGGGGGTTGTTTGGTTGCGGTGGATGTTATTCGTGGGTCATCACTGGAGAACCAAGCAAACGTTGAAGCAGCCTATCAGCCTTTCATTTTGGACACCCACAGAGTTGGTTTGAAGAAGTACTGCATGGTCAACATGTCGCTTGTAGAATTCTGCTGCAGTTTTAGAGGCTTTGCCCATTCTCAAGGCCTAACCACGTCAACCCGGGACATGACAGAATGTTCTTGAACCATATGATTTCGATGCCTGGCAAGCTGCTTCTAATTTACGCAAGGCGAGCAGCAGTAACGTCAAAGCACTTTGCTTTCTTCGACGTCAGACGTTTGAACGTGTGTTTGTGTGTTTGTTTTGACAAGTCGATTGACCGGAAGAACAGGTCGAAAGACCTTGGTTCTCCTCACGACTCCTCAACTGCACCAGCTGAGACCTGACCGGCGGTTGCTTCTCAAAGACTGAGAAGCATATTGGAGTTCTAAATCGGAATTGAAACCAGCTTTTCATGGTTCTGTTGGCCATGGCAGCGTGAACGCAGAATCGGCCTTGGGGAGTGCTTTCCAGCCACGCTGGGAAGCCAGAGGTCGCCATGTCCCCCAGCAGAGGCCTTGCATTTTGGCTCCCTGGCCAAATGGAGGATGGAAAGATATGATGAGATATGATACACTGGCATGGAAGTGGATGGCAGCACCGGTTTGGTCCGAAAATGCTCATCCAAGGGCCTTAAGGGGCCAAGCCATCCATGTTGGCCCATGAATTCGCTGTGGAGACAGATGTCACCGCTTCCATGCCGTCCGGGCCGTCCGGGTCCGTCGAGTGGTCGTTGGTTTGAAGGGTCCACATGGCCTACATGGGGAGGACCCGACGTGTTCCAGAGATTTCTCGTATGGCAGAGCAAGGTCGCTGGAACTAGTATTCACTAGTCTTGCCCATGACACTCTTTGCATTGCGGGATTTGCCCCAGTTGGAGGGGCTGCCACCAAGGTGCCTGGCAGAGCTAGTATGGGCTCAGGCGCCCAGTTGTTGTGTGTATTACATTGTATTACCTTTCAATCTTTGACAGCTCGAAATAGGAAGCACCACGTTGTCAGCATTTGCCGGGAATTCAGATGAATGAATGACCAAATGCCCGGAGATAAGGCGAGCAATGCACAGATACGCATTGTCATGCCACTTGGAGGGACTCTTCCAACAGAAGCTTCAAGAGGCAGCAGAGAGGCTGCTCATGAAGGACAATTGGTGAATCAATCGATGATGAACAAACACCAGCACCACCTAACTGATACACTACGAACAACCTGAATTATGGATCTCCCCTTTGCTGCCACTAGCAGTGCCATCAAAAGTACCCACCATGTTCTCCATCAACGGACCTTTTTGCACCGCAAGAATTTGTTTGCGTAGCTGCTCGAACGCTACGCAGGTGATGCAGGTGCCCTGGTTCTTCGATTGCTCCAACAATCCGGCGACCCGGTTCACACTTCCCAGAGCTCCATCAAGGATGTGAAGAGTGGCCCTTGATTTTTGGGAGTAGATCGTTATGTAGAACCCGCCCATTTGGATTGTAAGACCTTCTTCATGTTTTAAGGATCAAGAGTCTACAATACTGAAGTCTTCGAGGTGATTCACCCATTTTATACGGATGTCACGGTGGGTCATGAACCTTTGACTCGGATGTGTACATCGATCGAATTACTCTGCGTCGATGTACTGTAGGCTGTTTACAAGCATTCTAAGGGGCAAGTATTAACATCGTGCTGCACCACGACATGATGTTTCTATGTGCTCCTATGGTGTTTCTAGTTCTTCCACGAGCAGGGAAGCATGATAATCGGAACACAGTTCATGTCAGCAAACGATGGACCACCGACAGGCTCAAGGGCGAACTTCCCCTCAAGAATCCAGCTTGACATGTCACCCAGTATGTCACCCTTCATCATATAGGATTTGCCAACCCCTTTGAAGTAAAGACAAAGTCTCGAGTGTTGACCGGAACACACACCGACGCCTGTAAGGACGCAGCCAGGACCCGTTACCGTGGTCGGTCTAAGGCACGACCCCGGCTCGGTTGGAACGCCATCAAGAAAACACCTTAAACACTCCAACATATGCCTAGCTCGGTCCCTAAGACCTCCACTGATGCTCGCCTCCAAACCTCCCCACTCCGATCGATCCCGAATGCATCGGACCGAGGAGTGGAGCGCCTTCCGCGAGCTCTTCCAAGGCTTCCGCCGCCGCTTCAGTGCGCCGGAGCGAGCCGTCCGGTCCGTCGGGCTCCGGACGTCCGCTGTTGGGTCCCGGTCGATGGAAACAACGAGTGTGGACCGACCTCAGCACCGGGGTGTTGACCTCGAGACGTGACGTGGCGTTTGGACGCCTTTTTGACGTGGCTTCACCGGAGACCTTCTCCAGGACCGCGACGATGCGGCCATGGTCACCGAGGTCCAACAGGCGGAATGGGTGGAGCATGCTGTACGGCGGTATACCCTACAGGGCTTCAACTTTGAACTACCTCCGTTTCGAAGGTGGTTGGGGTGTGTACCAAGGGGCTCTAATCACCTTGTGAGGATATGTTTGGAGCCCTAGGGCTAGATGTGAATATATACGTTTGGATATGTTTGGATGTCTGTGTTTTATCTTGTGTGTGTATGTGTCAGTGGAACGTTTTTTATTTGATTGATAACGTGACGTGTGTTTTAAATCTGGTTGTTGTGTGGAAAGCGTACCACTGCACAAGTGTTTTACTGGTGCTTGTGTATTGTTTCACAAATATGTGGTCCCTAGGTCCCTATAGGTCCAGTAAGCGGGCACCTTTGTACGAGACAGTGGTCGTCGGACCGCTGGTGGACGGTGGAGCCACTCAGCAGGTCCTCACTGAAGCCAACCAGCTGGGCCGGCGCTACGAGCCCAACTTTGTGGCTCGACTGGTTGGGTTGAGCCGACAAAAGCACATGACATATAGCATCGCCGCATAGCCATATAGTAGCTGCAAAAAGAACACAAGGAGGCATTTTGATTTTCTTGGCTGGATAGTTGGTCTCCCACATGGTTTGGCAGCTCAAGTCTTTGCATGGAGACCGGTCACTAATGGCAGTTCAAGTATCCACAGATTTCTAGTCCAAGTGTTTTGTCAAGTGCCAGCGGTCTAGGCTACCTCAAGGGATGCAGTTTTCCCTGGCTTGAACGACTAGCTTTGTGAAGACTTCCACTCAAAAAGGCAGGGTACATTCCCAACACATGTCGCGGGGGGGCAATCTGTGGCCTTTCAAACTCTAATGGCCCGATGAACAGGACAAACACCTGTGGAACCCTGGACCCTATTGTCTGACCATTTTTGACCTATGACCACGCACAAAGAGGGCATGGACTAAAAGCTTGACCAAGCAAACTAGAAAGGAAGAGTCCGAGGAAGGGCAAAACGCTCTCGGTTTGGTTTTGTTGGATCCAGGATTTATCGCGGAAGGTTGTTGGACAGTAGCTGAACACATCCGGTCTTCGCATGAGAAAAATGGGTCTTGGAGTCCATGTTCTTCATGGGTCTTGGTGCCTCTATGTTGAGTTGCTTGTCTTTAGCGTGTTTGCTTGCAAGAAGTGTTTTGCACCACTGTTTTTTTGCAAATTATGAAAGAAGTGTTTGGGCATTTCCGTGGGGAGGTCTAAAAACACTTGTACAACTAAAAACTAACAAAAACACTTCTACTAACCTGAGACGTCCCAAAACACGCAAGCTCGAGCTCCGGATGGCGCCCTTTTTCCTAACTCATCGTTGATCGCTCACAAAAAGTCAGCTCTTCTTGAACATCTTGCGCAGGTCTACACCCTCTGACACTTCCTTCTTTCGTTTCTTGTCCGTCTTTCTCTCTTTGGACTCTTTCTTATTGTTCTTTTCTTTCTTCGACTTCTCTTTGCTCTTTAGCTCAGTCTCTGGGTCAGGCTTTGCCTTTTCCGACTCAACTTCATCCTCCTTTGCCTCAGGCGGCACAATCTTTGCATCTGCTGAACGACCTTCAGCACTCTCTGGCTCAGAAGCCTCTGCCGCCTTGGCTTCAGGGCCCACTGCCTGTGCGGCCTCCTTTGCCTGCTGGACTTCATCCTCCTTTGGCTCACGTTCCACTACCTCTGCCGGCTCAGCAGGAGGGTCTGTCAATGCCAATGCCAGTCCCGTCGGCTCAGACTGTTTCGCCAGCGTCTCCGCATTTGCCTTTGCAACCAAATTTTTCTCAATGTGCAAAAGAAATTCATGAATGTCTGTTCCCTCCACTTCTTCCGAGCGTGGCTCGCATCCTGCTCCTCAGACTCCACAATTTGCTCAGTCGATGATGTAGGCCGATTGCTCTTCCCGAAGTGTCCTCCTCCTCCAGGGATGATGATAGCTGGCTGTTAAACAAATGTTGAATAATTTCTGAATGCTTTTCCTGGCCGTTGGCCATTCAGATGGAAATGCCACAAATAAATTCAACGCCACTTGAACCTATTGCACCTAAGGCCGAGGTCTGCTTGGTCCGGTTGCCATTACATGACTCGTAGCTGTGGTCGTGGTTAGTATGGTTTGTATGGTTTGGTTACAGGCACAAACACCTACAACTCACAACCACTGTCCTCTGCATTCAGCAAAGCCAGCACATGTCCGGGACCATCTGCAGGTAGTCCTGGCCCCAGAGCCTGTCCAGGGTCGGCCATCTCCGCCAAAACCTTGTCAGTGTCGACTGACGGAAGCACGGAGAGTAGGAGCTCTGCAGCTGGAGGTTGGTCCACCTGACAACACTTGGAGATACTACTGGTCACTGATTGGCCTGCTGTTTATTCTTGAGAGTATTTCTTCTCATATGCAAGCGCCAGACTGCCATATCAAAAACACTGCAAAACTACAAAAGACCAGGTCAGATCAAAAGGCAAAACACATCACATGAAGGTGGAGCAACATAAACTCAGGGACAGAGACAGCGGTGGCAAAGGCTGGACTTGACAAAACAGTCATGTCCCACCCAGGCCCCCCCATCCACCTGATCGATGGACAAGTGAAAGGAAACAAGGCCCTCTTGGTCGTAGTAAAGCGCGCTGGTCCTGTCAGTCCTGCCAGCAGCCGAAGGGAACTCTAAACACAAACGCGCCAGTGAGCCCAAAATTGCTGTAAATTTAAGGCATTGTCGCGGTAGATAGAGACAATATGATGCTTACTATTAGCCTCGACAAAAAATAAACGAAATCTGAATTAAGCTGAAACAAGTAACCCGTTGTTTGATCACCTTCATTTCTCATTTGCAAATCATAGAAATTCCAAGCGCTGTTCCACATAGCCCCACAATTGAAATGCACACACCCTTCCCTCAGTCCTGCCGCCTCTTCACGAAGCTCTGCTGTGCAGTCTCAGTGTCCTGTCTTTTCTTTTTTCCATTGGCCATCAGGACGCCGCTATATTCAGAGGCCCAGCCTCCAAGTAAGTAAGTCACCGATCCTCTATCAGATTGAACACATGATTTGGCTCGGCTCAATGAATGAATCTGAACATCCTGAAAAGAAAATATAGCATTCAAAGCATGGACGTGGATTCATGGACGGAAGTTTGAATTGTTGTTTAGAATGTTGTCTGTCAACTCGTAGAGAACCCGCCCTGAGCCGACCGTGGAGCTTCGAACGGCCGGCCGCCTGGACACTCACGACGACTCACGAGAATCACCAGGGGCGCCAAATCACTCTACCCTAACCATCATTGGACCCTCCTATGGAGGGTTGTGATTAAAGTGGGTGCATTGGGGTATCCAAACCAGGATGAAATAGCCCTCTGGACATCATGGACATCACATGCTGCCAGTAGCAGTGCAATAAGCTAAGAAAGTGTTTTGTACCCTCCCTTAGCTCAGAATAACCAATTTTTCAGAGGCCCACAAGGGTCAAAAACACTTCCTCATCGCTAATTCTCTCGAAACAACAAACGCCGGCCCGCAAGCAACTTAACAAACCAATAGATCATGTTCCGTCCATCAGAAGAAAACATAGAAACATCAGGAACAGAACTCCAACCAGGGTTCATTTTGGTCAGTAATCGAGGATCATCACTCATCACTTGCAATCTAGGGTCATTTGGGCAAAATGATCTCCGCCCAAAAGAACATCCCAAAAGAACAGCACCCAAAACCGAAGGTGTTCCACGACCTGAGGTTCAATATGCCAGCGACTGGTCGGTGTTTCACATCTGCAACCCGGATCGTTTGTCCGAAGTTCCAGAGGCGACTCCGAATCGGAGGGACCGAAGGGCAGGTGGAGATAGAATAACTGGGAGCTGATCAGCTGATCTGGAGGTTCTTTGGAAGATGATGTAGGTACTGAAAGGTGAAAGCAGGGGGTTTAAGACATGTGCTGTCTTTTTGTGTGTACCCATCAATCCTGAAAAAAAACATGTTATTCGATTGGCTTTGCGTTCTTTTGTTGTGAGGGTTTGGGTTTACACTTCCGAACGGGAATGTACACACCCGCATGGATTCTGTTGCAGTGGTTTGTGTGTTGGTTATTTGATTTCTTTTGTTCTTATAGTTTTCGATGTTCCAGTTTTGCTGGTCCATTCTACTTATTGGGAAGGTGGCAAAGATGTTGATTGATTCCACAAAGGCGTACTCCTCGAGAAATACGTTGTACGCTGACAAGCTTCAAAGCTGTTTCGATATAGTTCCGGTGTTGAAGGAATCCAGCGCCATGGGAAGTGCAGCCAGCACACAGCTGGCATCAGCTACTGCCGAAGATCTCCAGAAAATCTATCAGGATTTACCCGAAGAGACTCGAAGCAAGTTGCTGTCAGCCATGGCCACAGCGAAGACGTCCACTTGGACCGAAGCCTATGGTGTTTTGGGATGCTTTGCCAGCAAAGACCCTGCTACCACGATGAAGCTTGTCCTGGCAGATGCGGCGATCCAGGTAAAGGAAGAGAAAGGAGCTCCTTGGTTTTCCGTGATGGGCCATCCAAATACTCCTGAGTCTGACAAAGACAAGGCTTTTTGGGTGGCTGCCTTTCACAGCAAGGAGGCTTATCATCAGGAGCACACACAGCGCCCCAGCAACAAGGCCTTTGTCTCAGAGCTGATGGCCACTTGCGCTACCGGCAATCCCATGGTGGACATGATGGGCACGTACCGGGGCTCCATGTACTATACGGAGAAATCGGCAGCCCAGCTGGAAGGGACTGTGTATGCAGTGGTGCGTACTTGGACTACCAAGGATGCCAAATCAGCAGAGAAGATGCTTGATATGCTGAAGGCAGCCCGGATTTGTTCAAGAATATCAGAATACTGTATACTGTAGCAAGATGATGCAAGATGCACAGTGTCAACAAAATATGCAGATTTCCCGAGATCTCACTGTTAAATGTGTAGTTGTTCCAGCTTGGTGCTCATGATGAATGATTGTGCATGGGAAGATTGCAGATTCGGTCATTTGTCAGCGCAGATGATTAGTAGGCAAGAGGTATATGATAGCAGGAAGAGGTAGGAAGTAGCAGATTTTAGATCATCTCCAGTTTGAATGATTTGGTACAAGATTCTTTTTGATTGAAAAATCGTCCAAATTCTGCCTGCCATTTGAAGTTGTCACTTTGAAGGGGTCGCCGGGTCGCCGGGTCGAAACTGCTCATGTTTTGTTCAAGTTTATGGTGTGTCCCAGGCGGATGGATTGAAGGAGATGGAACTCCATCCGGATTTGCTGCAGATCATTCTGTTCCCCACCGTTGCAATCGGTGGGGACGTCCCCGAGGGTGCTCCCAAAGATGATCGAATGTTGAAGTCAGCTTTGCTCTTCAAGTCCTTGGAAGCCATGGAGCAGTGGAAAAAGGGGGCTATTGCGAAGGTAGAGCAGTGGAAGGCAGGGTTGTGCAGTATTGTGCAGTGCATAAGTGCATAAGTTTGAACAAATGCTAGGTTAAATAGGGCGCGCGGCGATGCGCGGCGCACATGTTTTTTCCGGGGGATGGGGGGGGAGGCGGACCTGGAACTTCCAAGTGTGATTGAACTGTGTTTTTTCTCCATGGATGCTAGAGTGAACCATCAGTTGTGTTTCTTCCTCACATGCTAAAGGTGTGGCTCATATCTCCATTGGTTCGCATGCAGCGAGCGATGGCTCATGTTGCAGTCAACAGATGTCCTCCTACCATTTCTTGGGATGCTGCAGTTGGGAGTGTCAATGGATGTTCAGTTATTTAGTGGTCATGAAAGGTTCCGCTACAACCTGTCCTGTTGGTGGACTTTCTCCTTTATTTCAAGTTTGCATGCTTAAACAATAAGGAGCTCTGACCCTGTTGGAAGGAACTCATGGAAGATCCATCCAAAGACTACATTGTGCTGGAATTTGGTGAGACCAAGCATTTCACCAAGTGAAGATGCAACTGATGCCATCAGTAGTGCCATCACTTATTTCACCCCACACAAAATCAGCGGTGCCGGCGACGTGACGGCGATTGAGCCCCTCGCCACTGCAAAATTGTGACGAACTCAGCTTCAAATGAGGAAAGCATGAGGAGCAAAACAAGGTTCGGATCGTGGCGTGTTCCATCCCACATTCTGCTCCCATGGCATCTCCAACCCTTCCTCGGACAAGCGTTGAATCATCGTGGTTGGACGTTGCAGGCTTTTCGTTCCGCAAGTGGTTCAGGCACCATGACATCTCATCATACAGTTTTGTTTATTAATTTCAGTTTCCCTCTAGGAGCACGGACATTGGGGATTTTGTCGAATTCTGGAATTCGCCCATGCTTCGCTGTTCCTCACATGCGTTGGCACGGACTGGAGGACTTGCAGAAGAATTTCTGTTTCTACGGATTTGCAACCGTCCAATGGCTGCCCGGCAAGCAGAGGATGCCCCGTTCCACGGGTAACAGATTCAGAAAAAAAACTGTTGAAGAAAAGTACTGCACTGGCTATATCATTCTGTCACTGGAGACGGTCCATCTACAGATGTCGTTCATTGAATTCATTGGCATATGAGATGCAGCAACTTCTTGGATCCATGGGCATAGAGCGATGGCCTCCAAGCTACTAGCGATGGCCTCCAACCCAAAAGAATACTCAATGAAGAATGTACAGATGGACCCCAAAGGGTTGGAGGACTTTTTGCCGCATGCCATGTGTTCCTGGGCGATGTGGTCGCTTGCAAGGGTTGGTTCTTTCCACGCTTCCCACATGATGATATATTTGTGGGCACCACCATAAAGATGCTACTTAGCAGGTGGCATCCCAGATAATTTCTATCAACAACAGCAAGAAACACTTCAAGCACCAAATACTATTACGGAATGCCAAACATGTGTGTGTGTCATGCCATTTCATGTGTGCCTTTTCATTGTCGATAACTTGCGTTTGAACAACAAGGAGCAGGTGAAATCCGTATTTGTATGTTTTTTTCCGCCCCCCTGCCTTCCTGCCTCCGTCTCTCGAGCCGAGCCGGCCAGGGCTACTTGGCTAAGTAAGGACTACTATTGTGTCTCTCTTTTTTTCATTGAGATACAAGGACTGTAAGTGTTTAGGCATATCATATATTATATTATCATCATATAGCCATATAGCTGCACACCTTCAACATGCAAAGTACTTCTTTCCACAGCCATCAAAAATAGCCAAAGGCTGGGGCTCTTTGGGCATCAGCACTTCAGCAACGTGCCGGGCATGTCCGAATGGGCTCACAATGCCCGTGGTACCTGGGCGATCGGCCGATGACATCGTCCGGCGTGGTCGTGGTCGCGAGCTGGTGTGGGTCTCCGTGGGTTTTCGGTTTGTAAAAACACGTACTGATTGTGGTCGAAGGGAATATTAAACATCATAAAACGCGTAGATTCTGTGAAAGATGCCGGTTCTTGCTTCAGGCTGTTTTGGAATATTCATTGACGGTCTCCATGTTTCGGCGAGTGACATTGCTAGCTGGGATCCTTCTGGCAGCACTGACGGAAGGACCCCAACTCGACATGGATGCGGCAAATGAAAACACTCACTGAACCTTTGAGCCACTAACCCTTTGGCTCGCACCGGTACGCCGGATTGGAAGTGTCTATGTATCCATCTCAATGCATGTGAGATCAAATTCCCCCGGCAAAGATTCGAGCACCAGCCACATGAGTATCATTGAGTATTACTGTGTCAAGTTCCTCAGGCTTTCTGAATGATGCTGCAAAGTTCAATGCCATGCACTTTCTCGCAACTTGTCGACCTGAAAGTGTGTCCCTCTCGAATCTTGAACTGTTCGGAACTGCAAACAATGTCGTTGATTCTAAGCATTGCAATGTCACTGTACAAATTGTGTATGTAGCTGCTGTGTTTTCTTTCGGCACGTTTTACATGAGAAGGCATGAGGCAACCATGTTCAGAGTGATTTGTATCTAAGAAGGTGTTTAAAAGTAATTGCTTGTGTTTAAAAGCACAACCCAAAACAAGACATTGCTCCTGTGGAAATCCAGCTGTGACGAAAGGAAGTGCCATCCATTCAACTCATGGGTTTTTTCCTGCAGCTACAGCCAAACATGGCATTGACACCCTGGACACACTTTTGGAAGTCTATGCATAAGCTCATGTCCGAGGGCTGGCCAGAGAAAACCTGATCGCCGCCTTGTTTTAGTTGCAATCCATGCGGTGAAGGTGTGGTGGGTTCTTCCTTCACCTCTTGACATCCCCATCCCCTCCTCCATTCCTCGTCCCCTACGGATTCCTTCTCCGCCACGAACTGGAGGAGAGCTCCGGTTGGTCGGTGACCATGGTCGAGTTGGCCAAGTCGCTCAGCAATGCCTTCATGGCGAACTCCGATTACAGGCGCCAACACCTTCGAAAGAGAAGGTGTCAGACCTGCGCAAACAGAAAAGAATGGTTCCTTTTGAGATAGACCCAGCCTGCCCCTAAGAACGCCTGGGAACGGCCAAAAGATTGAAAACACCATTGAAACCAATTTCTGTATCCACGGCTTGTGTTCATAACGACTCAACTTCATGGGAACCCTCCACATCTTGCATTGTGGTTGGGAGCCCGAACCTCAGTGAACGGTTCTTGGTTTAAAGCAGGAATTCCCTCCAGCCCCAGTGTGCTTTTGGTAAAACCCACAAAGAAAGAAGGGCAAGGCCCCGGACTCCGCAGCAGCTGTGAGGGTATGGTGCATGAGATGCGCCGGATAGCTTGGTTTCCTTATTTTTGCGTGTTGATCACCAAAACGGTAGGTGGCCTACTAGTCAGACGACCGCACCAAGTGGCTTGTTGATCTCAGAACAGTTTGGGGGGCCAGGTGCTCGGAGATTCCACCATTTTCACCTATATCTTTCACGGACGTATCACATTCGATCGAACCTTGGGCGTCCGATGATGCGTCGCGACTCGTCACAGGTGAACTCTGGGATGATGTGGGAGATTCCTTTGTGGGAGAATGATGGAGAATGGGGTTGTCAGAGTCGTCAGACGTCACCCTCACACGAATCTTCGCTGGTCCAAACAGTTTCGCGAGAGATCGCCTTGGTGTGAAAACCAGCTCCGATTCTGGCGTTCGCACGCCAATGCCTCCAGGGTTTCCCGAGATGCAGCGTTGCCGGCGCTGAGCGAGTTCTCCGGGGTTCCGCGTCGGCCGCCCGAGCACACCAGGCCGGGTACAGCTGAGACGGCCGCTGAGTCTATAAGAGGTTGAAGAATTCTGAGCTAAGTTCTTAGGTGTTTTTCTTTGGCTATTCTAGCCGGCATGGAATGGGGGAGATCTTGTGGAATTGGACAATAACATTATATATATATATATTATAGTCTAAATGGCCTTGCTTGGCCAGCTAATTAACATCGTTTCTTGGATGCCGGTTGCGTGGTGGCTGGACCAAACGGTGGTAGAGATTTAGGCAAGAGACAAGAGATGGTAAGATTTCAGACTTGCCACGCCGATATGAACTACGTGTATCTGGGTCAAATCCGTAGTGGTAAACAATGTACTCAACAGGTCACAAAACAAGGGGGTGGTTAGTGGGGTAGTTCTATGTCCATATTTCATCTTACCGGCCCCTTGGAGACCTGCGGTTCTGTCGGTGATGTGCTGTCGTCCATGCTTGGATTCAACATGAGCTGCTTTGGGGCTTTTAGTGCTGTAAGACAGAAGTCAAGATTAGCAGTTCAATTGATAGAGGACATCAAGCAATTTGAAGATCTACCAAAGGCTGAGTACAGCTTTGTAAATGGCTCATTTCATGAATGTGCTTGTAGAAATCACACACACAGATTGACACATATCATGCGGATTGCATGAGCCATGCTTCCAAAGCTCCACCTGGCCGGTAGATTGCAGGCTTCATCGCTTTGAGGTCGAGAACACTTCTACGCCAAGGGATGAAGGATGTGGCTTTTGGGGTTGCTTCCAGACCCACTGGATGCTTCACTCAAAAGATGTTCACACTTGCGCTCCTGATGCTGATTGGAAGTCAAGGAGTCCCCTTTGAGATAGACATGGCTTGCACCAGCTTTTCATGCCCTGTTGGTTACGAACATCGTTGGGATGCAGGAACGGTGTTATGTGATGGCGCTTGCAATACAACAGACTTGCAGACCTGCTGTGTCTTGAAGGGCTTTTCCTCCTCCCGCTGGCGAGTGCAGGCTTCTTCCTCGGTGATCAGCACTTGGGACCTATCCTTCGTGCACTTCTTCTTCGCTGAGAACTGCACCGCGGACTCCCAGATCGACATCGACACAGGTCGAAATGGCAATGGTGCCGCCTTCTCACACCAGGCGGGGCATGGAGCTCTTGCCGCCCGAGTCTTTCACCCGTCTTCGGGGTTGGGCATCACATGGTCTTCGGGGTCTCCGTGTCAAGCTGCGGAGTGCTTTGTTGGCTATTCTTGGGAGGCAGATACTAACAGATTCCCTTTAGGCAGTTGTAGGTCCTCCAAGAGCAATGGCTGCGCATCTTTGGGGGTTTTACAATCAGCGACGCTCCGCGTGGGATGTGTTCACGTCCAGCAAAGCACGAACGTTGGACACTTTGCAACGACACTCCGCTTGCAACTGATGGACCACGATGGAAGCGATTCCAATGTAAGCTCCGGTCTTTGGCGGACAGCTGTGGAAATGAGGTCTTTGACAGGAGGCCTGGCAGTTCTACAACTCAATTCCTGAGGCATGTGCAGGAAACTATGACATGCATACTGTAGACTGCAGCATGCACGACAGGATGCAGAAAAAGAACACTCGGAACATGTCGGAACCTGCTTCTGAGATTGTTTGTTTGTTGTTTAGTGCTTCTCGTCGATGGATCTATTGAACTGTGGGCGTCACGATCGCCCCATCCGCAAGGAATCAAAGCACGGAAGGCACCCAGAGACAGCACAGGGAAACCGAAACACACTGTGAAACAGGTGATGGTGCCCTTTATTCATTCCACAAAGATCCACACCGCACTTTTCCGTTGGAGGTATCCAGTACAACCCATGGGATTGAGATGGATTGAGTTGTGTTTTTCTCAATGGGGCGCGCAGAAAAACACCCTCAGTCAGTAGGTGGTTGACCCACAAAGCTATCCTCATATGCCACCCTCAGGTGGGAAATGAACCGCTAGGGTTTAAGGAGTCTCAACAGATAAGACATGCATCCCTGAATTGGGGGACGCGACAGCTGTTCTTTTCACCGGGACGGTGCCTCGATCATAAATCCAGGCAGCCAAGTGCAAATCACCCATGGTGATGGTTTGATGATTGCTTTCTGATTCCAGCATAGATGGAAAAGTGAATGTTTTGTGTTGTTTGCTTCTTCAAAGTTACCTTTGTGGAGTCCGAAATTTACTAAGTGACCTTTTACAGGCCCAGGTGACCTCAAACCAGGATATATATTATATAAAGATCACTTTGAAGAACCAGGTGGAACCTGTTCGTATCTATGTGGAGGCCTTTATATTTGTATGTAAGTTATGTTGGCATTTATTCCAAAGTTCCACTCTAAATGTTTGTTGTTCCCCTTGCCAACTTGCCTTCTTTGACTCCGGAGTCGCTCAAGAACAGTTGCCTGGAATAGAAAGCTCCATGAAGACATTCTGACTTGCTTCAAGAGAAAAACATGTGCTTTCAAAACTAAATTGTTACAACACTACAAGCATTTGCAAGCTATGTTTACCGTCTATTTTTAATGACCTTGGATATAGATCCGCCCGGTCAGTGTCTAAGATAAACCTCAGAAAACCGTGAAGCCGACGCATACGCAGACGAAGACGAATCGAAAAGGCGCCCACAAGTCCGAGTACTGAAGGCAGTAGCCATCTCGTAGCTTGGCGAATTGAAAGGTGAGCGACCAGGACAACAGCGATAGCTCTCTTACACCTGTCAGCATCCGATTTCTCCGTGTGAGCCTGAAGCACGGTCCCAGAGTCTCCGAACCCGTTTGAACCCCTCGGGTTCCAAGTACCTTCTGAGAAAGTACTGTTTGAGGTGTACTAGTAGCGTCCTCGCTGCTAGTAGCTGCTAGTAGCGATGCCCGGGTTATAGTAGCGATGCCAGTTGGGTCATTGAAGGGTCCAAGTAGTCCAAGTAGCACCTGATAGAGGTAGTACGGCCCGTGAACCGGACTGTTGAGCAAATCAGCTTAATTATATATCTAATTATATATATAAATATATATATATAAGGTCTTCCATGGCATTGAAATTCATTGTTTAAGGTCTTCCTGAAGAGAACAAGGTTTTTTGGCAAGAAGGGGTAATATGGGTTCTCCCCACGTGGTTTAGGGTTGGTTCATGTGGTTCGCAGTGAATCAGACACTGTATGTGGAATATATTTCTTTGGACCACTGATCTGAACTGTGAGTCCAGGCTGCGTCCCCCCGCAGTCTTTGGCTATGCGGAGCCTGGCTGAGGTATCATACTGCGTTGATTCGTGAGCCGCTGACATTTTGGTGCAGAGCTTAGACTTGGAATGACTTGACTGTCCAGGAGCTGTTCACCACAGTATGCAGCGCTCACGCGCTTGAGCGCTTGGGCATGTATTGGAGACGCAAGGGAACATTGTATAAGTCCGTTTCTGGAGAAACTATATACCCAAATAGCATTGCTGCTCCCACTTAAAGAACAATTCTCATGAAGCAATGAACAATGTCCTTTTCCTGACTAAAAGCCATGGTTAACAATAGCCACACACCAGTGCACTGATACCATGTGCTACCCACATGTTTCATCTATATATTTATATTTTTACATCACATCACTGCACGAGGCCCAGACACCGACGACCACACCCGTGACAGGGTGCTCGCCTCACCACGCGTGACCGGCGATGACCGGCGTGACCCTCAGGCAGCACATGCTGACGCATCTCTTCGATGTGCAAAGCACCCTGCACATCTTGGACGTCACGGCTAAGACAGCCCAGGAGGGATGGAAATTGGCAAGACCAAAGTATGGGTGCCGAGTTGGTGTTGCCTGCTTTGTTTTGCTCCTGTTGCTGCTGGTGTGTTTGTCATGTTTCTTATCACTTGCCTTTTCTTCTTCTTGATGTCATTGTGAGTTAGTTATGTATCTTGTGCTACTGGTCTTGGAGTAAGTGAGGCCGCTGAAACAAGGATGATCATGATGATCCATATTATATGATGATTTTTTTATTGCAATTTTCTCAAGGTGCCTTGATCAGAGCAGTGACATCAGGGTGAGCTCAAGAAGTTCTGCTCATGTGCATTCAAACAGGTGAATCGGCTCTCAACTTCTTTGGGCTCAGTAGTGGATCCTCGTGTTTCTCCCAGCAAACATCACAGAGACTTGTGGATCCTCGTCCGGATCCTCATCCCAACCGTTCGTTGTGTTTTTGGCACGAGGACGTGACTCGCTTGCACAGCCACTGCCGATTTATTGCCGCTCAGCTCAGCAGTTCAGCCGTCAGTCAATGGGTAAGTCTGCCAACCAGTCGGTTTCTTTCGACATCACTAGGCGTAGCCAGATTGGCTGATCTTCTTTTCCTTGGGTGAGGAAACACATGACAGGTTCGGCAGTTCGGAAGCAAAGACAAGGGCAGTCAACCTATTTGAGGAAAAGCCTTGTGAAGTTGGTGGTCAATAGATGTTATTGACAGTAACGACGGTCATCCAGCCTATTCATGACGATAAGACAAAGCGAGTTAGAGCGATGTCTTTGACAATATTTGCATGAGCTACAAGACTAACTATATACTGTATAACTGCTATATTTTACGTGCTTTATGTTTTAACAAGCCTTCATTAGTTGGGAGTCTAGAATGTTGCTATCACTCATGTCACACAACTTCTTTGCTGTACCATGGAAACAGCAAGCGATGTGGTCACAGTAAGCTCGGCATCACGACTTCACAGTGTCACAGCACGGCTCCATTTTGGGGTCATGGTTCTTATAGGTTCTTAGGGGTCATGGTTTGTAAATCAACCAGACATTGCTCTATGTATCTACCTGTCCCACTCCCACTGTTGAAAGTGGCGGTCCAGGGTGGCTCGTGGTGCGGCACCGACGAACGGCTGCTGCAGCTGAATGCGTTCCTCGCTTTGCCCAGAGGAGAGGCCTCAGAAGCATAAGGCATAAGGTCTCAACCATGGTTTACGATGATTTAACCTCTCCGGACCCAAAGGTGGCTTGTCAATCCAAAGGCTGTGGCTTCAGGTTTCAATCCAAAGCCAGGGTTTTTGGGCGCTTCGATGCTTTGCGAAGACTGATCCACCTGCGAGGTCCAAGAGACACTTCTTGGGATCCACAGCTTGTAATCCATGTTTGGTTGCTCAAAGACCCTGGTGTGCATGATGACCCTGATCTTCCCCGGTTGATCACAGACGACACGTCAGTTCTTTGGACGGCAGTTCTTTGTCAGAAAGATTAGGTCGGGTTGGCTGACGAGCTTTTGAAGCATAAAGTACTAAGGCTGTTCACTGATACTTTGCTGAATTGCCACACTGGTGATCACAAGGCCATGGGCGGAGATACCGCGGGCTTTTGGCCATCGTTGCGGTATGTGAAAGCGGCGTGGAACACGTCCTGAAGAAATCTCTTAGGTCCATCTATGCAAACAGAGTAGGCCCAGGGTCCCAGACCCAAATGTTCATGATCTTCAGAACGGATTCCATTTGTTTGTACCTGTATTGCCCTGTTCCAACTGCGTTTGGTTGTGTTTCTGTCTTCACGTTTGTCACAGCGGCTCATGTTCGGGTCAGCTGACCACGTTCGCTCCAGAACCCTTTGCCGAATGAATTCGGGGGGTTTTGCGCCTTCGTTTTCTTTGTGCGCGGGCTCGATGGCTCCAGGCACGACATCATTTCTTGCGATCCGCAACTCGGATGGACGATCTCCAACGGAAAATGACACGGAAAATGAAAGGAGATGGATAGAGGCTTGGCACATGGAACGGAAGAACTTGAACATCGAGGCGTTGAAAGCGTGAACTGAACAGGTTCTTGGACTATCTTGGACTATGTGCAAACGAGGGGTTTTAGCCATGCAAAATTGGACAAAGTTTAGCGATCGATGGCCTCTAACCTAATAGCGATGGCCTCCAATCCATTGCAAAGCCATGCAAAGCCCAAATTTATTATCGTTCCAGGGACGCTTGACACAGCCTTTAGTCGTTGGAGGACTCGTTGGAGGGAGCGACTACTCAAAGAAGTGCATGCTGGAGGTCCCTCCAGGTCCTTATCGCTTGGTGTGCTCAGGACAAGTGGACCACCGGACCACCCTAAAAAGCCTTAAACAAGTTTTGGGGTGATGGGGGCCACCGCTGTCATAAAGAAAACAGGTGGAAGCTTCGGGACACCCCAGTCATGAAGATCACAGGTGGAAAGTGCTTGGGGCCACCGCAGTCATACAGAAAACAGGTGGAAAGTGCTTGGGGACACCCCAGTCAGAAAGAACACAGGTGGACAGTGATTGTCGACACCCCAGTCATCAACACTCCAGTGATAAAGAAAACAGATGGAATGTGATTGGGGACATCCCAATCATAAAGAAAACAGGTGGAAAGTGATTGGGGACACCCCAGTCATAAAGAAAACAGGTGGAAAGTGATTGGGGTCACCCTAGCCATAAAGAAAACAGGTGGAAGGTGATTGGGGACACCTCAGTCATAAAGAAGCAGGTGAAAAGTCATTGGGAACACCGCTGTCATAAAGAAAACAGGTGGAAAGTGATTGGGGACACCCCAGTCATCAAGAAAACAGGCGGAAGGTGATTGTTGACACCCAGTGATAAAGAAAAGGGGTGGAACGTGATTGGGGACACCCAGCCATAAAGAAAAGAGGTGGAAAGTGATTGGGGACACCGCAGTCATAAAGAAAACAGGTGGAAATTGATTGGGGACACCCCAGTCATCAAGAAATCAGGTGGAAAGTGATTGGGGACACCCCAGTCATCAAAAAAACATATTAGGTGGAAGGTGATTGGGGACACCCCAGCCAGTCATAAAGAAAACAGGAAGGAAGGTGGACAGTGATTGGGAACACCCCAGTCATAAAGAAGACAGGTGGAAAGTGATTGGGGACACTCCAGTCATAAAGAAGACAGGTGGAAAGTGATTGGGGACACTCCAGTCAGCAAGAACACAGGTGAAAAGTGCTTGGGGACACCCCAGTCATGAAGATCACGGGTGGAAAGTGATTGGGGACACCCCAGTCATAAAGAACACAGGTGGACATTGATTGGGAACACTCCAGTCATCAACACCCCAGTGGTAAAGAACACAGATGGAAAAGTGATTGGGGACACCCCAGTCACCAAGAAAACAGGTGGAAAGTGATATGGGACACCGGGGACACCGCAGTCATAAAGAAAACAGGTGGAAAGTGATTCGGGGCACCCCAGTCATAAAGAACACAGGTGGAAAGTGATTGGGCACACCCCAGTCATAAAGAACACAGGTGGCAAGTGATTGGGGACACCCCAGTGATAAAGAAGTCAGTCAGGTGGAAAGTGATTGGGGACACCTCAGTCATTAAGAAGACAGGTGGGAAGTGATTGGAGACACCTCAGTCATAAAGAAAGGAACCAGGTGGAAAGTGATTGGGGACAGGTGGAAACTGATTGGGGATACCTCAGTCATAAAGAAGCAGCCAGGTGGAAAGTGATTGGGGACACCCCAGCCATCTACACCCAGTGATAAAGAACACAGGTGGGAAGTGATTGGGGACACCCCAGGCATAGAGAACACAGATGGAATGTGATTGGGGACACCCAATCATCAAGAAAACAGATGGAAAGTGATTGGGGACACCTCAGTCATTAAGAAGACAGGTGGAAAGTGATTGGAGACACCTCAGCCATAAAGAAAATAGGTGGAAAGTGCCAGGGGACACCCCAGTCATGAAGAAGACATGTGGAAAGTGATTGGGGAAAACCTTGCCATAAAAGAAGACAGGTGGAAAGTGATTGGGGAAACCCCAGTCATAAAGAAAACAGGTGGAAAGTGATTGTGGAGACTCCAGTCATAAAGAACATGTGTGGAAAGTGCCTGGGGGGCACGCCAGTCATCAAGAAAACAAATAGAAAGTCATTGGGGACATCCCAGTCAGTCATAAAGAAAACAGGTGGGCAGTGATTGGGGACACCCCAGTCATGAAGAAGACAGGTGGAAAATGATGTTGGACACCCCAGTCAGGAAACAAGACAGCTGGGAAGTGATGTTGGACACCGCAGTCATAAAGAGAATAGGTGGAAGGTGATTGGGGACACCGCAGTCACAAAGAAGATAGGTAAAGTGATTGGGGACACCCCTGTCATAAAGAAGACAGGTGGAAAGCGATTGGGGACACCACAGTGACAAAGAAAGCAGGTGGAAAGTGATTGGGCACACCCTAGTCATAAAGAAAGCAGGTGGAACGTGATTGGGGGCACATGAAGAAAACAGGTTGAAAGTGATTGGGGACACCTCAGCCATGAAGATAACAGGTGCAAGGTGATTGGGGACACCCCAGTCACAAAGAAGACAGGTAAAAAGACAGCTGGGAAGTGATGTTGGACACCCCAGTCATGAAGAAGACAGCTGGGAAGGTGATTGGGGACACCCCAGTCATGAAGAAGACAGCTGGGAAGGTGAGAAAACAGGTGTCAGGTGATTGGGGGCACCGCAGTCATAAAGAAAACAGGTGGAAAGTGGGTGGAAGGTGATTGGCAGTCATAAAGAAAGCAGGTGGAAAGCCCCAGTCATAGAGAACACAGGTGGAAAAAGTGATTGGGGACACCCCAGTCACAAAGCAAACAGGTGGAAAGTGATTGGGGACACCCCAGTCATATAGAAGACAGGTGGATAGTGATTGGGGGCACCCAAGTCATAAAGAAAGCAGTCAGGTGGATAGTGATAGGTGGAAAGTGATTGGGGACACCCCAGTCATAAAGAAAACAGGTGGAAAGTGATTGGGAACACCCCAGTCATAAAGAACACAGGTGGAAAGTGAGGGACACCCCACTCATAAGGAAAACAGGTGGAAAGTTCAGTTCACTTTTTTTCCAGTGAAATGGCTAGGGGGTCAGGTTTTGTTGGGTGGAATTCGTGCTGCTCCATCCCACTCCGGTTCAGTTCATACCTATACGGATTTGTCCATGTCTCGGGCACGATTGGTTTTCAACCTTGCGTCCGCATCCCGCACTCTGTCAGGTCAGGATGTCCGACAGAAATCACTCATGCGACTCATGCTGAGACATTAGGCTGATACAGCGAAGATAGATAGATACCCCACTGGTAGGCTGGTGCATGTGATGCGTGACCCACCAGATTTTCATGTGCTACCGCCGTACCACGTGGGTGTATTGACGTGGACGTTGGGGCATCCATCAGCATCCAGCCAAGGCGCAGGAGTACTATGAGCTCTTTTTGCAACTCATGGGGAATGACGCTGAGTTGCGCTCTGCAGCCGCTTGGGATTCCGGAAGAAAACCCATGTGCTTCTCCAAGGCTTGTGATTTGTTTTCCGAGACGAGTCACTAACAAGTCTGAAGACTTTGTAGTGGACAGAGGGATCGTGGAGTGATGATGTTGTAGGTGTCACCTGAGGTAAACCTCCTTGGATGTAGCATTCAGGTGAGTTGGTGGAGGATGCCATCAATGCCAACGTTTCAATCCTCCAAGTGTTGGTTTCGGCGCACCGAATCTTTTGGTTCACGCGAGTCTCCGTGCACGCGTTTGAGGATTTCTTCATGTGTGGCGAACCGGTGCTCTTTTGTCGCCTCTTGAGCTACTTCGGGCAGCCCGTGATTGGTTACATTTCCACGCCCATCTCGGTCTATGTCGCATGGCGCATCGTGACGCCAGATCTTCGGCCGTTCGGTGTCGGTTCGCATGTCGAAACTCGACGCATGTCGAGTCGATTCGGTCAGAAGTGGATTCGACTTGGAGAACACACACAGGTCATCGATGTTGGGTAATGTTAGAAAGTTGTTTTGTTCGGGTTCCCCGTAGAAAGAATAGAACACACAGTGACAGTACATTCCACGATGTTCTGCAGAGTCTTTTTGTGGACCACCGGCGTCATTATGTTTTTGTGTGTGTTGGAAACGTGAGCTGTTTTGTCACATTTGATGTGTTCCGACCCAAGGTCGGAAAGCATGATCGAGCCGAGTGGTACCAGCAGTTCTATGATGCGCAACTGCATATAGGGTTGGAGGATAGAACATAGGGAGAACGTGGGCAGATAGCCGACTCACATGCAGCATTGTCAAATTTGTTGAATCTATACAGTTGCTATTAGCTGATCTTTGAGAACCTTTGGAGGTTCCATTGGCGTGTCACCGGAGCTTGGGCATAAAAATATCACATGCTCGGAAAAAGGCGACGTTTAACTTCTCAAGCTCATGTATTTGTGTATTGCCAAGTACTGTAGGATGTATATACTATATTGGCATGGTGCAGACATCAGGTGCCCGTGATAACTTGGTAAGTTCTGCCAAATCGCCCTGATACACTAAGAGATTTACCGATTTACCCATTTTCCCGGTTAAGGGTTTGGTAGCCACACCGGGCCACACTTTGCCAAAGGTTTCGGTGGGTTTATGTCCACTTACCTTTGGCTTGAGTGCAACTGGTTGAGGAACCTGGATGGATTGGTGAGTCGATAGTCACTGGTGCCTTTTTCCAGGAAACCGATCCAGGTACACAGTAGATATCGGCCAGACAAGTGTATATATTCCCCGTATTATGGCTGTGTGATGCTATGTGTTTCAATACTAGTTTGCATTTTACAACCATTCCCAAGGTGGATTCCTGGACCCCATGTCATTGAACATCCGCAGGAACTCCTGACATGTTGCTTGACAGATGTCACATAACATATAGAGGCGAGGAAACTTCGGAACACCTAATCTTTCTCCAGATTGGAACTCCTAGGAGATGACTCTAGATGATCGCCACATCTTCGCCACCACCACGCCCATCTTTGCGGAGTGGGTGGCGTGCGCCACGTGGGAACACGGTTGGATCGGAAGAAACTGTGGACGTGGCGCACAACACCGAGGCCTTTTTCAATCGGGGTGGAACGGTGTTACACTTCTGGGGCTCAAATCTTGGAAGCAAAATGAAGCAAATCAGCAAATACCACATCAAATAACCATTATAAAGACATATAAAGACCTCCCAGAAATTGCTAGTTGACCGGATGGGTGTGTTGTTCGATGCACTTGCTGACACACGCAGGGAGTAACTAAGTTCTTTAAGCCCTGATAGAAGCAGACTCCACGACTGCCAGAAATGTCTTGGAGGAGTTCGACAGAGACATTGGTTCAGCTTGAGATTTCATGTCAGGTACGCCACTGGAATCGACCTGCCGGTCATCCGGCCCATTTGCAGCTACACTGAGGCGTAGTGTTTGACGAAGGGTGACGTGAAACTGGCAATGGAAAACAGGAATCACAAAAACTGACCACTTCAGAAAGATCTCCCATATGACGCTTCTTTGAGTGAGATGTTCGCATGTTCTTTTTGTTCAGAGGTTGCACGATTGCACACACACCAACTGAGCTGGAAAGGAGCGGCGTTTTGTGCATCAATCCCAAGGTGAGCTACTGGCCACGCCGCCAACGCGAGTTGCTGCTCTTGCGCAGCGTGAGCCTGTTTTGGGATACGGAGCGACGTGGGCACGGCCGGGTGGGAGGCTGGCTGTGGAAAGGAAAGCACCTCATTTGGTGGAGACCTGACTGACAATGTAGACTTTCGATTCATAAGACCTCTCAAAGGAAGATGTTTTACAATCGAAAGGGAAGAACCTACAATTGTCGTGTTTAAGAATCGGGGAGCTTCACCGACCAATGTGGACCTACCTATGAGGCCTTTCTGCCGGAATTCGCCTTCACAGCAATCTTGAAGGGGACCTTGAAACAGTCCGCTCTCCACCGCCAAAAGAAACCTGCATACATGTTTCGTGGGCCACTTGGATGGCCGAGATGGTGTATGGACCAGTCGCAAGTCGCAGCCAGATCATCGCACTTTTGGATGCCCCGTCGTGCAACACTTACTCAGCATCGTTGAGAGTGTGTGTAAAAGACCGTTACTCACTGCAGGAGTGTGTCCTGAACTACTTTGCCAAGCAGTTCGCAGGTGGGGTTTCGATTAGCCATGATTAGCCAGTTGTAGCCTTCAAAGCTGGCCTCAGGTTTGCTTTTCCAAATTATTATCACTTATATAAACCTTATACAATATACAAGGGCGTTTCATCCACGAGTGTGATTTGAGTGTTTCTTGGAAAACGATGATGGACGTCCAAAAGAACAATAATACCCCTATTACAAGATGTTACAAGAACGATGTTATTGAATGTTTGGAGTTCATTTTGTGCGCATGTGTGTGTGTGTGTGTCCACCCCTGGACAAAGGGTTTGCCACCGCCACTCTTTTCAACGTTTTTCCACCACTTTCCACGGGCAGGGGGGCAGTGATCCCTTCAGCAGTCACTGCCTAACAAAGACGCTGCTGATCGGATGTGATATTCGGAGAGGACGCTCTCCGAACGTACCTGCCGAGTTTTCCACACGCTGTCACCCTACTCTTCCACTTTTTGATTCATGGTTCTTCATGCTTCCACCCCCAAACAGGTTTTCCCACCGCAGACCTGCAGCCGCTTTGCCGCTGTGCGCTTTCCGCAGTCACGTATGAAAAACCTTTTTGTTGAAACATCTACAATTGCGCTGACTTTCCACCTTACCGTTGAGCCATTCCTTTCCTCGGGAAATTGAGTCACTGAATACAAGTGTCAGAGTGTGTTTCGCTCAGCCGTCCCACTCGGGTGCTGAGTGTGATCCCCGTCACAGGGGCGCGGTTTTTTACATCGGAAAGCAACCAACCCAACATGCCACCTCTCACCGGATTTCCACTGGAAGTCATTGACACACCCTTTGAACCAACAGATGCATTGGCCGCCGGGCCTAAACACGGCAGCTTTCTCTTCCACCAGCTTTCGGATCAGTCATGCATGTTGTTTTCCACATGTTGCATTTTTAGATCGATGCCGTGACCTTTTCATCAGCAGAACTCAAGCTTGTACACTGGAGTTCTCCACTCTAATTCGAGATGCATGACCACAGACTCCACACCATTCGAAAATACACCTTTCCACCCTCCAGCGCTGAAGCTGCTGCTGCCGAGTTAGTGAGGCTTTATGTCCAAAAAGGACACAACCACCACGCCTGCCACCGTTTTTTGAAAAAGCGCCGAAGACGGCGACCTGTGTGTGTCCACCCCTGGACAAAGGGTTTGCCACCGCCACTCTTTTCAACGTTTTTCCACCACTTTCCACGGGCAGGGGGGCAGTGATCCCTTCAGCAGTCACTGCCTAACAAAGACGCTGCTGATCGGATGTGATATTCGGAGAGGACGCTCTCCGAACGTACCTGCCGAGTTTTCCACACGCTGTCACCCTACTCTTCCACTTTTTGATTCATGGTTCTTCATGCTTCCACCCCCAAACAGGTTTTCCCACCGCAGACCTGCAGCCGCTTTGCCGCTGTGCGCTTTCCGCAGTCACGTATGAAAAACCTTTTTGTTGAAACATCTACAATTGCGCTGACTTTCCACCTTACCGTTGAGCCATTCCTTTCCTCGGGAAATTGAGTCACTGAATACAAGTGTCAGAGTGTGTGCGCGCCTGCACAGGAGATAATGTGAGAATGTTGCGGTTTGCTTTTGTGCTTGTGTTCTTTGTCTTTGTATTTGCTTGTTTGTTTTGTTTGGTGTTGGGCCCGCTTGCGTATGGTTTGTTCTTGCAAGTGTCACAGGCGGTCAGGGATTGTGATTGCTTGTCAATTGCTTGTGTTTCGAGGGCTGCCCTTGGCTTATGGGCTGGCCCCAGCTCAACGAGGTACCAGTGAAAAAGGTATGCTACGTTCCTTTGCCTGGTTGGGTTGGTGTGGAAAAGGGTTGTTTTCTATATTGTGGAGCATGCACGCAGCATCTGTGCATACAAGCAGTTTGATATGAACCATGCGGACAAAAAGTCAGCGACATAAAGTGATACCCCAATGGTAGACCAAAGAGTGCAGAAGAGGAGCTCCTTAGACGGTGCCCAAAGGGAAGTCTGCAAAGGTGCAGGCAGACTTAACGTCTTCTAGTGACAGAGATCAGGTCAGCAATGTTGCCCTTGCTGAGGGAACTGCCTGTAAAAAGTGTTGTTGTCCTTTCTGAGTTCAATTAGAAGCGTTACTGGAAAGATCTCTTAAAGCTCTTCATACTTCCGAAAATATTTCCAACATATTGATTGCACTGGATGCTCAGATCATGAAGGGTTACGAATAATTAGAGGTTCCTGTGTTTTGTTGTTTGTGTTTTTGTGTTTCGTTTGTTTTGTTCAGTGACACGGTGCTGGGGTTCATTGTTGGTGGCAAGAGCCTGCAAAACGATAGCTACGGTGCTCATTCTGCCAAACACTCGCTGTAAACCCATACGGGACATCCCTGGTGAACTCTATGAAATGTCGATCACTCTCCTCTATGAAATGCCTTTTGGGTAGCCATTTTATAGAGAGCTAGGGGTTCTGGATGCTGTCAAAGTTGTCCAGAGGGCATTTGATAGAGACAATGGCGCCAGAGATTGGTGGCAGCAGCTTTGCACATCTTTGCACACTAGAAGTATTGTCAGTCAGGGCACTTTATAGACGAGAAGGCTGGAATGCTGGATAGGCATTTTACAATAGCAGCGGCTCTTTTTGCTATGACATGTCAGGTGTCTTACTGCTTGAGAAGCGAACTCGTGCTGTCAGTTTTTTGCAGGTTGTGTCAACCATGCTTGGAGGTTGATCCAGGCATTTTATACACATGTCCATCCTGGCATTTGATAGAGTTTTTTCTTTGGGTAGGCATGTTATAGACACCACATCTCTATGAAATGCCGGGATAGTGGCTCTACCCAACATTCACCGGGATTGCGGAACGTCCTAAAATTGAAAAAGGACACCTCGAACAAAATATAGAAAACACAAACAACACGTATGTAGTGTCAGCTATATAGAGAAGTCATTTGATCTCTTTCCCTTTGCTTCGTGGACAAAACAGCCGTGCTCATCACCTCTTGCACCTCTCCCCCGAAGGTGACGGGGAACCGCTCCGCTTCTTGGAGTCCACCGGGCTTTCGGATGAGGTCGGCCGACGGCGACCGGGTCGCTTCACAAACGGGGCTCACCTCAGTGGGAGCTCAGAGCAGTGGCAGTGTAAGAAGACCGAGTCTACTTGGCATGTTCAATTGTTGTTTTTTCTCCGGGGAATGTCGATCGGACAGGGGATCCTTTGGGCGCTTTTGGGTAAGAGTGCAGGCCTTGTTTGCTGAGCAAGTTTGACAGAATTACATTTCGAAGAATATTCAATATTGGCATGAATGGATTATGGATGATTATGGCGTATGATGGTGTATGATATGCCATGTGCGCCTTAGATGTACGATATGGTTGAACTCTTGAGCCATTCCGTGCTTCAGCCGTGCCGAGTTTGGCACCGACCCTCCCAGCCCCGGGAACACCCGCACCGGAGTCCAGCCCAATTCACCGCAAGGAGAGACGAGGCTATGGGAGTTTCGCTGAATTCAAGGCAGTGCCGAGCTGAGTGCAGCGTTGTTTTGGTTTCCTGGGATCCATATTGATATGGGTTGCCACAGGGTTCAGTGATGAGATCAGTGGTTGTTTCCTGTTATAACAAATACGATTGAGGTTTGGGAGGCTACAGATCTTTGACACAGGGACGTTTCTCACAAAGTCAGACAGTCAGATCATATGTATTACTGTAGTTAGATATACATGCATGTATATGCGACGAACGCAGAATTATCATAGGACATGTTGCATGTGGCTCATATATCACGAAAGCTAGCGAAGCTAGCTGGAGTTACTCTTGCGATAGCAAGGTTTCTTTCGATCGGGTGCAAATACTAACCCCTCCCCCCCTCCTTGTCTTCCTCCCACCTTCCCTCCCTTCCTCCCTCCTCCCTCTTCGCAAGTTCGACTCCGTCCTGTCGTCGCTCTTTGGCATGCGGTTAGCGTTGCGTATCTTGCGGCCGCACTCGCTCACTCTCACTCTCACTCTCACTCTCACTGTCTCTCTCATCTCTCTCTCATCTCTCCCTCATCTCTCGCTCTGCAGGTGGATCTTTGCGATGCCACCGCGACGTCTCCTTGACCTCCTCCAAAAAGAGCGCCGTGTTTTTTCCTTCCTCGCTGCCCTCCACTTTCCCATTCTGGAGCGCTAGCTTTCGCCCCCCCCCCCTTGGCCTCAAGTATATATATATATATAACATACACATACACACGAGTTCCAGAAGTGTCAGTCCACATGACCTCTCTATAGTCGACCTGATGGAGCAGACTCCCAGCATACTCAAAACGTGCCTACGTTGGGTCCGGATTCATTTGAGCGAGAATTGCAAATTCTATGTCATTGGGGCAGGCGGGTCAGCCTCCGTCAACACATGGTTTGCTATGTGGAGACGTAAGTGAATCACTCGTTCTAGGAGGATGGCCATCAACTACCAAGTTCTGACGCCAATTCGAGTGAACATGATTTGCCCATTTGCTAAGAGAGACAGAGAGAGAGAGTGTGTGTGTGTGTGTGTCAAGCCCTGTTTCGAAGGTTTTTTTTGCAATCACGTGATACCGCAGGGGCGTGTGACACTCTTATCCTATCACACGCAACGAAGCTGTGGATAAGAGTGGGAAGGGAAACTTGGCCAGTTTCCTGTACCTGCGACGCAACTGTTGATCACGCTGTCTAATTGATCGGTTTGCTTCATGGTCCTTCATGCTACCCACCCCCAAACCTTTCTCTCGACCACTTTCAGCAGCCGCGCGTTTCATTGCTTGTCACTGCAGTTGCGAGTAAACAATTTGTTGAAACACCTTCAACTCATTGGATCTTTCACCGTGCCGTTCCATTTTTCCTGGCAATTGAGTTAACTGAAAACCAATGTCGAAATGTGAGCCGCTCAGCCGTCCCACATGGGTGCTGGGTGTGATCCTCCGCAAGGAGGCGCTGTTTACATACCGGAAATTGAGCCACTGAATCATCTTCCTTTCATTGACTTTTCCTCATTGATCTTTCTCTACCCTGAATTCACTGCTCATACAGCCGTCGGGCTATAAAACGAATTTGCCAGCCGCCGGGCTTTAAAACGGCTGTTTTCCTCCCTTCCCCCCCCCCCCCTTCCCCCCCCCCCCCCCCCCCCCCCCCGCCGCATTCTACTCCCTACCTAATTAGGGTAACATAGGGAAATGGTACTCGACACACTTGCGTGTCGGCGCCTTTCCCTCTACCCGCGCGTTTTAAGACTAAAGTCCCGCTCCCTAACTATTGCACTGTAATTAGTCTCGGCTAAGTAGTCAGTAATCCTAGAGTGCTAGGTATTCAAACACACACAAACACACACACGTACACACGCATGGACATACACCCCTCCCTGCCCCCCCTTTTCTTTCTTGCGCTTTCCGTCGTTTGTTGGGCTTTCTCTCAGGCTTTTTAGGTCGCTCTTGAGGCTCGTTTCCCTACCCCAGTCAAGGGCTAAGTATTCACTTTTCCTTTTTTCTACACCTATCTTTCTCTCTTGCCCTCTTAGCGCTGCTCTTTCTGTCTTTCTTTCTTTCGTTTCTAAGGCTTTTTAGGTATCTATTCAGGTCTCACACGAGCGCCGCCAAGCGGCACCGTGTGTGTGTGTGTGTCAAGCCCTGTTTCGAAGGGTTTTTTTGCAATCACGTGATATCGCAGGGGCGTGTGACACTCTTATCCTATCACACGCAACGAGGCTGTGGATAAGAGTGGGAAGGGAAACTTGGCCAGTTCCCTGTACCTGCGACGCAACTGTTGATCACGCTGTCTGATTGATCGGTTTGCTTCATGGTCCTTCATGCTACCCACCCCACAACCTTTCTCTCGACCACTTTCAGCAGCCGCGCGTTTCATTGCTTGTCACTGCAGTTGCGAGTAAACAATTTGTTGAAACACCTTCAACTCATTGGATCTTTCACCGTGCCGTTCCATCACCATTTTTCCTGGCAATTGAGTTAACTGAAAACCAATGTCGAAGTGTGTGTCACACTCTGTTTCCAAGAGTTTCCACACGCAGGGGGACATGGCGTGCGTTCAGGGACCATGTCCAACGAAGCTACCTGACGCACAGGAAGCACTGAGAGACGTCTCGGTGTGTACCTGCTGAACTGTTTCCACAAGCTGTCACCCTACTTTTCCACGGTTTGATTCATGGTTCTTTCACGATACTTCCCCTAAACCCACTTTCCTGCAGCTGAGCTTGTCACCGCTTGTTCAAACCATACTGTTTTTGCTGACTCTTTCACCTTGCGCTTCCCTCGCCCTTTTCGACTTGGGAACTGAGCTAACTGAAAACCAATGTCAGAGTGTGTGTAGCAAAGCACCAATTCCCTTCGTTTGACCTTCACGATTAGACGCAACAGGAGTATTTCCTCGTTCCGTTTGATACGGGCGGATAGGCAACGTCTTTTAATTTAGCCAGGCACATGTCTCTTGAGACGTTCTTTTGGTTTTTTCGACCACTCTGCTGAATGGGGTGGCTTGCCGAGTCCAAAGAAGATGAGTTCATTTGCCGTCAGAGAACCCCGCAGGTTCTTGTCCCCAAATCCATCTTTTAATTTAGTTTTTTGTCACACTAGGCTGCAACCGTGACAAATGAACCACACACTTGTTCGACAAGCCTAGAACGAGTTTCCGCCTTCAATTAGACGAGGAATGCGGTACTTTCAAGATCCCCTGCTGAACCCCATCATATAGTGTCTCTTGAATGGGCCTGCAAACAAATCCATATAGATGGTACCTTGGGTTGTTCCTCCATCCAAATTCCATGTGGTTCGATCTAGACCCCCAACTCATCTACTGCAATCATGGGTACGTAAACTTGTTTGAACACAAACCAACCCCAAACTCAACCAAGGTTGGTCTTGATTCTGTCTTAAGAGGTCAGCTCGTTCCCTCCAAGGCAGTGATTTATCCCTATTCTCCGAGCCAGTTCTGGTTCTACGAGCGCCTGGGCTTTTGGTCGCCATCGTTGGATGGGTGGAGCATTGGTGGAGCCATGAACAGGCCCATACAGGTCCCTGGTGCTGCACTGCACGCTTCCAAACGGTCGAGATTGGAGAGCAGATGAAGCGCTTGAAATTGGACCAGAGTCGGTTGTACAGTATACATCTTGCCCTTCTCCTGGTGATCCCTCTTTTTGAGTGGAGGTTATTTGATGTTATTTGCCTTCGCTGTCAACTGATTTCAAAACTGAATTGGTTCGATTGACAGATGTCCTCAGAGCCAACCCCTGCGTCTATTGCCCAATTGAGCTCAGTTTAAACAATGTAATTCAATGTAACGCATGGATTTATACAGAGGTTGACCTGTGTTTTATTTGCGTACCTTTTGCCCACTTGACACTTCCCAAACCCAAACTGCTGACTTTACTTGGTCGTGTAGATTTCTCGCCGCGGAAAAGCAACATCGCGGCCCCCCTCCACACGATGTTGGCCGGTGCCGCATGCTCATTCCAATCCGTTGTCTCGAGGCTATATTCCATGGCCGTGCCCCTCCTGATGCCAACCAGAGAATCCATGCCACTCTACGTGAGCCAGGCAAGAGGAAACGGCGAGCGGAGGGGACTGGACCTCCCGTCCGTATCGGTGACGAATCACACGATCCAAAGGCAAGTCGACTTCGTTCGCCAAGGGCACTACAGGAGGAACTCCTTGGCCGGCGTTTGGAACTCGCTTCGGATGTCGTGTCGTCGCTGCGATGTTTGGGTTCAATATTGGATCCTCTGGCCACAACGGAGCAAAAGGGTTCGGAATGTTCTGGAGTGTGTGAAATGGAGGGAGTTGCCCCGACTTATTGCAAACATTCTCATCGAAGTGGCACATAAATCGGTTACCCCAACCAAATTCTCCAGACGGTCTATTCTTGGTACCCAACGTAGCCAATCCCCATGGCTTCCTTCTTACACAATGTCACCAAACACGCTGCAACGCCGTTTCTTTCGGCCCCGACCGTCTCTCCCATCGATTGGGCCGTCCGTGGAAGCCCGCAGGATTACTCAGTGTGTCCAGACTTCGAGGGACATCGCTTGGGCCATGCGCCGCATTTGGTGCATCCCCACTCACCCTTTGATACCGATGACTGGGCGGCAATGACGTCTCCGGGCTGCAACTGGAGGATCATCCGGAAAACAACAAATGCGTGGTTTGTTGGGTAAAAGGGCTGGTTGGGTGGTGGATTTCGACACAAAGGTGTTTTTTGCGTGTGTGGAAAGGAAGGAGCGTCGTTGCTTGTGTAGGAAATAGTCTGTGTTGCTCCTCCTCGCGGCGGAAGCATCAAAGAAGAAATGACAATGCATCAAAAAAATGCACCCCCAAAAAAAGAAACAAACAAAGGAAGGAAGAGAGGAAGGAAGGAAGAAAGGAAAGAAAGGAATGAAACAAGAAAGACAGGAAGGAAAGAAGACAGAAAGGCAGGAAGGAAGAAAGGAAGGAAGGAAGAAAGAAGGAAAGGAAGGAAGGAAGGAAGAAAGGAAGGAAACAAGAAAGGAAGAAAGACAAAGGAACCAAAGAAGAAAGGAAGCAAAAAAGAAATTACTTTACTTCGAGTGAGCCCCACCATGACATTTCAATCATTTGACTTGATGCCATAGTGAGGAGCATGTTGCCATGGTCGTGAGTATTGTAGTTCTCGATTTTGCTTGTGGGTCCTCGGGTTGTGTGTTGTGGTTGTGGTTGTGTTTGTGATTGTGTGTTTGTGGCTGTGTGTTTGTGATTGTGTGTTTGTGGATGTGTTTGCGGTTGTGCTTGTGGCTGTACGTTTGTGGTTGTGTCTTTGTGGTCGTGTTGTTGTGGTTGCGTGTTTGTGGTTGTGTGTTTGTGGTTGTGTGTTTGTGGTTGTGTGTTTGTGGATGTGTTTGTGGTTGTGTTTGTGGTTGTGTGTGGTTGTGTGTTTATTGTTGTGTCTTTGTGGTTGTGTGTTTGTTGTTATGTTTGTGGTTGTGTGTGTGTGGTTGTGTTTGTGGGTGTGTGCTGTGGTTGTGTTTGTGATTGTGTTTGTGGTTGTGTGTTGTGGTTGTGGTTGCGATTGTGCTTGTGATTGTGTATTTGTGATTGTGTGTTTCCGGTTGTGTTTGTGGCTGTGTGTTTGTGGTTGCGTGTGTGGTTGTGTCTTTGTGGTTGTGTTGTTGTGGTTGTGTGTTTGTGTTTGTGTTTGTGGTTGTGTGTCTATTGTTGTGTGATTGTGGGTGTGCGTTTGTTGTTATGTTTGTGGTTGTGTTTGTGGTTGTGTGTTTGTGGTTGTGTCTTTGTGGTTTTGTTGTTGTGGTTGTGTGTTTGTGGTTGAGTGTTTGTGGTTGTGTGTCTGTGGTTGTGTGTCGGTTGTTGTGTCTTTGTGGGTGTGTGTGTTTGTTGTTATGTTTGTTGTTGTGTTTGTTGTTGTGTTTGTGGTTGTGGTTGTGGTTGCGTGTTTGTGGTTGTGTTTGTGGCTGTGTGCTTGTGGTTATGTGTTTGTATTTGTGTGTTTGTGGTTGTGTTTGTGGTTGTGAGCTTGTGGTTGTGTGTTTGAAGCATACTATCTGCCATTCAATCTGCCATTCTATCTGACATACTATCTGGCATTCTATCTGGCATTTTGTCTGGCATTCTATCTGGCATATTTTCTGGCAATCTATCTAGCAATCTATCTGACACACTATTTGCACTGCGATCGGATCCTTGCGGTTGAGGTCCAGGGATGCACACTGCGATCGGATCCTTGCGGTTGAGGTCCAGGGGTGCACACTGCGAGGGGATCCTTGCGGTTGAGGTCCAGGGGTGCACACTGCGATCCGGAGCTGGCCAGACAAGATCGGCGAAGCAGATTGGCGAAGCAGATTGGCGATGAAGATTGGCGAGGCGAGGAAGCAAGCAAGGAGGAAGGAAGCAAGGAGGAAGGAAGGAAGGAAGGAAGGAAGGAAGGAGAAAGGAGGGAGAACAACTGTGATAAAATCTACCAACCCTCACCTGGCAGGTGGGGAAAAAGCAACAAAGAGGAACCAAAGAAAAAGGGAAGGGAAAAGTAAAAAAGGAAGACAGGAAGGAACAAGAAAGGAAGAAAGAAAGACGAACCAAAGAAGAAAGAAAGGAAGAAAGAAAAGAAGGAAGAAAGGCAAGAGACAAGAAAGGAAGGAAACAAGAAAGGAAAGAAATCATCATTTAGCAAGTCTGGTTGACCCGATGCTCATCCCTGCGAGTGGAGTTTCACAAGAGGTCATTCAAATTGCATGAAGGCATCACTGTAGCAGTTGCGTACTGTACTGGCACATCTGAAATGCTAAAAGCTCTACATAACCCATACACATAGCCCAAATACTCACAAAGACATCTATGTAATCTATACTCCCTGTCACTCTCTCTCTCTCTCTTTTTCTCGCTCTGTGTCTCTCTCTGACTACTGGTCCCTGCTGGAGATTCAAAGCATGACTGTGATTTCTATGTCACATTATAAGTGGGAGAGGAGACACACATGAAAGAAGAAAAGACACAGGGCAACAACGAAAGAAAGGAAGAGTTGGGGAGGGAGGGGGAGGAAGAAAAACGGGAAGGAAGGACGATAGGAGATAACGAAAAGCAAGGAAGGAAAGAAGGAAAGACAAGAAGAACCATGCTTCAAAGAAGACACCAAAGCAGGAAAAGGATTATATAATGATAGCAAGAAAAAGCAGACCATTGGCCACATGATCCACCAGTTGATTCGAGAAGAAGCATATCGAGAGGGAAGAATGAAGGAAACAGGAAAATCCCGTTTCGGTGTCCCACCTTCCCTCCCAAGAAAGGTTGCAGCCTGGTGACGGATCGCGCTCTCTGCAGATCCTGCCCACCCTGAGATTCTACATTGTATGTTTCTGGAGCTTATCGCCCGGCCTTTGTCTAGTGGTAGCGGAGGGTTGCCCAGCTGAATTTGAGATATGTTAACGGAGACTGGAGACTTGGACAATTGAGCAGACCATAGCGGCCATCAGTAAAACATTTCTTCTAGGGTGCCCTTCGCGGTTGCCACTTGCTTTGCTGAGGGGGAGGTATGAAATCATTTTCACATTTTACGCCTTCTACTTCTCATTCACGTGAGACTTGTGCAGCTATATTATTTCTCAAGTGTGCTCCTGAACCTTCGCCTGCCGCCTGGTCCGGGCCACATGCTAGTTTGGTCTGGTGTGGAAATAAGTCTTGCACTCCTGCCTGAGGTTTCTCCGTGCCCGACCTGCCGTGCTCTTAGTGGGTCTGCGCCGAAAACTTTGCATGCGCGCAGTGGAAAGAACGTTTACAGTGAGTATGCATTCATTCCGAGGGCATCCAGTCTTGCTGTAGGACCCGAGCCGCTCTCAAGCAGTCGTTTGGTCATGCCTGCCATCTCGATGTGATTCCGGCAGCTCTCGGTGCAACAGGTTCGGCTCAGGCGACTATGCACCCGCCCTTTGCCCCAATTCCTACATCTTGGACTGAATCTGCTTTGGTTGATGCGCCTTCGAACCTGGCGCTTACTTTGCCGATGGCTTCTGGACTTGGCCCGGCATGCCTCCAGGTGCTTCAGGCTCCGTATTTTCCAGTATTGAACCTGTGCATGTTCCTGGCGTCCATGGGGTTGCAGATTCTTCTTCTTCTGGTCTTGCGCCCGTTGCTGCTGTCCATGGGTTTCCACATAGCTTGCCCTCTGGTCTTGCAGGAATTAATGGTGGCGACGGAGTTGAAAGACCTGTTGGACTTCCTGTTGTGGGTGTTGCTGGCAGCGATGATCTTGCGAGCGCAGACCTTAGAATTGCTGCTGCTAACCCTTCGTCTGGTTATGCTGCGCCTGTTCCTGGTGTTAGCGAGCTTGCAGATTCCGGTCTTGAACTTGTTGCTGTTGCTCCTGGACTTGCAAATTTTGGGCCTCGTGGTCTTGGACGTCCTTGCTTCTTGAATGACCCGCAAGGGGAAATTGAATACTACTTCCAAGGTCTAGCGAATACTGGCGGGAGGGCTGCTTTGGAGACAAGATACTGGGAAAAATATGCCTATGTATTGCCAATACATTGAGCAGAAGTCGTTGCAAGAAATTGTTAGGGATTCTGTGACGCATCTCCGTTCCATCCAAAGGCAGCGATTGACTGTTGAGGATGCAGCAAGATTGCCGCGTAGTTTGGGCTTCACCACTACCCTGCCACGCATGTGCAGTCGCTTGCGAGTTCTTTCACCGAGGGTGTGGCTTTCCTGCAGTCTTCGTGTTTGATTTGATCCAAGCTTGCCTGGCATCATGTCAACATAAAGATGTGACTATTGCCCTTTATGCGGATCAGTCGAAAAGTTCTCACGCGCAAAGCACGTTGGTGGGCATGTCCCACAGGTGACCCTAATGCCGGGAAGTCACCAGCCTGCGCGGCCATCAGTAAAGTCTTTGCGGCGCTCGTTTTCCAACACCGTCCATTGTCTTACCCTGTGGATCACTTTGTGGGTGTTGGGAACAATGGGAAAATCCAAGAAAGGCTTCGGAAATTGGAGGGGGTGCTGCTTCTGCGGGGGCCCGAAGCGAAGCCACCCAATTTCCCGATGGGAAGTTCCTAGATCTGACCCGGTGGCTTGAATGTGCAAATGGGGGCAAATTTGAATGGGGAACAGGGGCAGAAGAAAAGCAAGCTCTCAAATCAGATGCAGACTCGGTGACTCCTTTAGTTTTCCCGTCGACAAATGTGAACTTGTGCCTCTTCCAACAGTTCAATTTGTTCAAGAAGTGGTGGGGGAGAGTTGAACAGAAACATCAATGTGGATTTGCTGCCCGCGTCACCCACCACACGAGCAATCGTCGACAGGGACACAGGCCTTCTGGATGCAAGTTCTCTCGATTCCTTCTTGCGTGCAGTGTGGCTTGAAACTGCCCGCACTTTGGCCCCAGTATTCCGCGCCAGTCTTTGCTCACAACGTCTGTGTCTGCTCAGCATTGTGTCCGTGACTACTATTATGAGTCGCACGAGCTTGCTGAATCGGGCACTTGGGGATCAGCTGGACTTTCTTCATTGGAGAAAATGGAGTATCATGTCCCTAGTTCTGCGCTGCCATGTTCCTTCCATGAGTGGGCTTTGTCAGGCGGCAGAAGAGACACGGTCCTATCGGATAACTGTGAAGTGGGGCGTTCGCCATTTCGATTTACGCTTTGTGCATGGGTGCAACATTGTTGCTTCTGAAGTTGCTGAAAGATGTGCTTCATCAGCGCAACGTGCAGGCAGCCCCCCGCCAGCCCGCAACCCCCGTTCCTTGCCTCCCCGGCTTTTGTCAGCTTGCGCAAAAAACTCATCATTTGTCGGATGTCGGAAGTCACATCACTTGCATGAAAGGAAGCGCGCGTGTGCAGGACCTTGTGGACTTGCTTCAGACTTTAGCATCGATGGGTTTAGGGGAGGGTTGCCAGGGTCGTCGTCTACCGAACAATCACGATGGACTTCGGACTGCTTCCCCATGTCCCCTGCGATCGCTGCCAAGCTTCGCCCGCTTTCTGTACCTGAAGCTTCATGGCCACAAGCTGCGCCACTGATGCGTGGCGCAGGGAAGGCGGGCCGCCCGCCTGCTGCAAACTATGTGTCGCCTTACACCCATACTAGTTCTATGCCTTTGGAGCAGGAGTTGCTTGACAAGGAAGGTTTCTTGAGGCATGAAAAGGCATGGGCTGGCTCATTGGTGCCCGGGCAGGCATTGAACATTCGGCACAACTTTTTACCGTGCAAAGCCGGCTTCAAAGCTTCACTGTGGTGTAATTCTTGCTCTTCTTGCAAAGACAAAGCCGGTTGGAGAGGTTACTCAGAGTACACCACGGGCACCAAGATGTTTTTTTTTGGAGCCTCCACCCCCCTCCTCGCAGGGGTGCACACATTCATGATGAAAAGCAAGTGAGCGACATGTGCCGTTGCTCCTAGTATAGCTTCTTGTTAGTAGTATGGCCAGGAGCTACTAGTAGCGTCCTTGCTCCTACAGTAGTAGAGCAAACATTTGTCGTTGTGTGTTTTCCATAATTATTCTGAGTTCTGAGCATCTCAAAATATCCTGAGCGTCTTAACAATCCACTTGTTGACGTCGGCTCAGGTACTGGGCATCCTTCACAGATTACCTCACTTTGCCACATGTCCTCCACTTCTCTTCAGTGCCCGACCTCTTGAGGTTCGCCTGCCGCTTTCGGGAAACCCGGCTGAGGCTTCATTTGCTGAAGTAAAGAATCATGTTTCATCCGTTTTCAAGCAAGAAGGTGTTCTTGAAACAAGGACTACCAAACTGCCAACAACAGTGGCACACTTTCAAGTTTGGTGTTCCTCTGTTCTTCTTGGATCCATAGGCGTTCCCCGACCCTCTTCTCTACACTGCGCTTGTCACATGTGACATCAATCTTTGCTCACCAAGCACTGCCAGGTTGGTGGAAACCTCAAACCTGCATGCAATCAGCCGTGCCATGCGGAAGGTTCATGCGCGGATCCCCGCAGATGTGATTGCCTGACATGGGTGGGGCAGTCGCAAGGGTGCACATGTTTTGATGCATTTTGATGCTGTCCAGTTGCAAGTAGGGGCTCCTCTACCCTACTTGCGAACACAAATAGCTGTGTAATTGCTGGTATTCGTATGATTTTGTAGGGCAGTTTTTTATACTGTTAGAGCACCAGCCTCACATCTATGTTTGTTGTGTCTCTATGGGAAGAGATGTCATTGTCAGCACACACCACGGCAAAGCTTTTCGCCAACATATTTATAAAGGAGACGACGGACTTAGAAGCTGGTATCAAAGGGCGATGATGCCCTTCTTTCATACATGGTATTTTCTCCTTAAAAATGCGGGCTGCCTTATGAGTCCCTACAGCCTGATTTGATCCCGGATGAAGGAAGAGTTCCTTGTTTCTATGATTAACTACTTGATTGAAATTTTATCCTGTTGAACAAAAAAGACGTGTGTTTTAATTGAAGTCGTTTAACACACACTGTCACATTGATAAAAACAAGTTGTTTGACTAGAGTAGTTTATCATTGTATGTGGTTTAGGGGGAAGTTGGCTTTATACTTGACTCGTTCTCTTTTCAACATACTGAACATTTGAGCCTTATCTTTTATTGACAGTAGTTAATTGTTGCATGGTTTCGGTAGCCTGGAGATGTTTAGGTTTCAAATTGACGCGTGTGGTTTTATTATTGTGATGTGAACATTATGTAATGCTTTTGGTGCATAGTAGAGAATGAAGAAAACGTCAACTAACCATATTATAAAGCAATGAATGAGCCAGACCAGAATTTGCTGTTGTTCCCATATATTGCCCACAAAGAGCCAGTCAGTTGGACAGAAGCGGCCAGGGTTTGTTGTCTGTCACAACGAGTTCTCGCCCGCAGATGCAGCATTTGGGCATTGCGCAAACATTCTGGAGTGAGGCTGGATGCCCGGGCGGTCTTTGTAGTCCCACAAGGAGGTGGGCTGGACATGCTTTTCGGGATGCATACATTAGCAATCTTTGTTGGAAACCTGTGTCGGTCTTTGTGTAAGAGGTGGTGGGTTTCGGGTCCTATGCATGCATTCTGGAGCGGTGGCAAACAATCCATTTCGTATGTATGTTGCAATGTACAATGAGAAATCGGTGAGACACAGCAATCCAGAAATGGACCCTGCAAGTCGAGCTGCCTATGGTGGCCCTGGTGTTTCTGTGGCTGGAAGTAAGCCGGGTGCATGTCAATGTTTTGTTGGATTCACTCAGAAATGTATTGTCATCCATGAGTTGGTGGAGTTTTGCTCTTTTTAGTACGTGTGTGTGTTTCCTTTCTAACTAAATAGATAATAAGCCATTCTTTCGGATAGGGTGGTACTGAAAATAGATGCCCAAGTCAAGAGGAGTTTTCAGCAGACCTTCAATCCTGCAGGCCTGCGCACGTCCTCACCTTTCTACGAATCAAACTCACTCATCATCTAGTCTCGCGGGTGAATCTTTCAACAAGTTGGGCTTCTCACATCCAAAACATGTGAGGGTTGCAAGAGCAGGTACTAGCTGCAAGCAAACATGCTCACTATTACGCTGGATTGCCATGTCCAAAAGTCGGGACCGTGCCTGAAATAATAGTGTTAATCTGTTGCATTTGTCGTGCAGATGTTTGAGTGTTCCGATGTTGGCATGTTTCTTCTTCCAGCCGACTAGAGCACTGAGTAAATTCTTGTTTCCCACTAAACAGTATACTTTGTCGGTAGAGAAGTAATTCAAATCAGAGAAGATCGTTACTGATTCACAATGGTCCATCGCCGCTGAAGCACTGGCTCCTATGGCAAAGGCCATTTAGACAGGCAGACATCATCGAGTTCATCAAAAGAGATTGATATTCAATAATTTGGAGTGCAAGACCAACCGCATTCTTGGCTCCAGAAATATTTCAGAGGCCCATTCTGGCCCATTCTGTCCTTGTATATACACCCCTTGAAGGGTGGGCTTTCTGGTATCCTCGCATGGCGGGAGCCGAAGCTTGACATACTATGGAGGAGATGTTTGTGCAGCATTGTGGTGGAATTATGTTTGTTGGGTGTACTTTTACCCAACAAACATGGCAGTGGATAATGGTTGACAATTCCCCGCTTTGCTTTTGCTTTGCAAACTGGATTTGCTTTGCATCCATATGGTTGGAAAGGATGCCATTTTAGACTCTGTTGGACATGATCATTTTTTAGATTGACACTTCATCCTGGAATGTCCTCATCACAGAATCCTTCTCGTTGGCTTCCAAACCTGCGTTTGCCTGAAACTTTGGCCTTTTACTTCTGTCAGCTGGAAATTTGTATGTGGCAGAAGGATGGGGGCCACCGATTGGGCCATGGGTTCGCATGCCCCAATCTACCAGGCAGGTCTTAGACGGTCAGACAGATCCATCCAAGGAAGTGCTGGGCGCACCCGTGGGGTCTCTCGCTGTACCTGGAAATGACGAAGACCTCACCAATGAAGAGCGTTGGAACATCATTTGGGCAGTCTCTCAGTCTGCGAAGTGGAAGAGCTCTGGGTATGGAAGGGCAAAAACAAACGCGAGAGAGAGAGAGAGAGCGTGTGTGTGTGTGTCACACCCCGTTCGCAGGGGTCTCACCATGCTAGCAGGGGAACTGGGCACTCTGTGACTGACCCAGTTCAACGAGGCTAGGTCACAGAGTGGGATATTCGGACTGATCATCCGAACGTACCTGTGATCGCTTGAACTTTTGAACAAGCTGTCTACCCTACTTTTCCTTTTGGGGGGCTGCCACTGCCGCGCTTGAGTTTCGCTGACAATTGCCTTGTTAAAACACCTTCAAGTTCACCGACCCAGCAGTGACCTGCTGCATCTTCCCACGCGGGTGTGCAGTGTGATTGTCTCAGTCTTGCAACCATTTTTTCCACATGAGATCGTCACATGCATGGAATTCACAATCCCGTATTTTCCCCCCCCCCCCGCCGTTTTCTCTCATGCGGCTTTCTTCATGTGTTAGGTTTTCCTTCAGGCTTGTTAGGTTGATGTTGAGGCTCGTTTGCCCCACCCCTCGAGTTCGTTTCTTTCTCTCCTGCCTTTTGTTTTTCTTTCTGAGTCTGACTCTTTTCTAGAGGCTCTTTAGGTGCGCAACCAGGTTTTTTAGTCAAGGGCTAAGTATTCATTCGTTTTTTGCCTTTCTAGAACCAAGGTAATTCCAACGCTGTCTAATGCCTTGTTTCCACGTTAAGCACGTTAAGCAAGTGCGCCCCGCTATGCGGCCAGCTGTGCGTGTCACAGTCTGTCCCCTTTGGGGAGCTGCCGCTGCCGCGCTTGAGTTTCGCTGACGATTGCCTTGTTAAGACACCTTCAAGTTGACCGACCCAGCATTCTTGCCGTTTGCGCTAACTAGCCAGTCAAGCGTTCCTGCATCACTTCTAACCACTGGACATTACGTTCCCTCACCGAAACTATGATTCTAAGTGTGTGTTGGTACTCGGCACAACGATCAATCTCCGAAAACAATCCTGAACATCATGTTCTTAGTACCCAAATGATCTCGTGTCACGTCTACATAAAACTTGAGAGACCTCGCAGTTCCATCCTGGTGAAACACGGGGTACCGAAGTCCATTGGTGAATCCATCGTTGAGGTTTGGTGTCGCTCCCCATGCTTTGGAGAAAACAGAAGGACACGTCGCTTCCCAAAACTACTGGTAGCAAGAAACTACTTGTAGCAAGGTGCCTTAGTACTAGTAACAAGAATCCACTACAATCCCAAAACTGGTTGAAGAACAGAATTATCCTCATGGTGTTTTTCGGACATGTCGCTCAGAAGTGGCCAGACCGATGATTGAACTAGGCGAAGGTTCAATAACCTGATGTGAAGTCGATTGGGAGGTCTTGTGCTAAAGATGTTGATTTCAGTGTTGATCTCATGATTGACTTGGTCCGTTGTGGTCACCTGAAATGTGTTTGTTGTTGATCGATCATATGAGAAAGCGCCAAGAAGTCCTATGAAGAGTTCGGGAGGTGAACCCCGTTGACATTGTAAAGTTCTGCAATCATTGTGTGTAGTGATAGGAAACCCTGAAGAGTATGATCTTCCTATCTCCCAATCCTTAGCGGCCTTAGCGATACCTGGAGCGATACCAAGCGACATCCAGTCCGTTCACCCCTCCCCGTGTGGTTCTACCAGAACTTACTAACCCTACAAGCGTTTCCTCATGCCACATAGCAAAGAGCTTGTCGAGGGCCTTTGCAATTTTTTGAACATTTATAGCTTTCATGTGGGAGCTTCTAAGAGGAACCACAAAGAATCCTCCGGGTTGAGGGGAACTGTAGAGTTCTTTGTTTTTGGATTGGGACTGTGTGAGTGTGAGCAATAGGAAACCTTGAAGAGCAATACCCTAGCAGCAGAATGACTAGCATGTTTTGATCGTGCACGTGTGATGTGTTGTTTGACCTTTTTTTCTGGGTTCAATCGGTCCGATGAGTAAACATATGCGTAAAACTATGAACAAACATGTTGCAGTTGATCTCGTCGGTATTCGTGGGTGAGTTTCTTGAATGCGTACCAGTGACTGGAGCAAGTTGCGATTGTGTTGTCACACGACTTCCTTCACAAGTGGCACGATCAGTGCTCCAGCCTTTGCTTGCTATTGAATCTGAGAGACCTGTTGTAATTCATACGTAGCTGAGGCTGTGAACGCCTACTACACCTTCGACACTTTGCTTAGAGTATGCCTGCATCACTGAGCTCCATACTTGGCCTATTCATGATTCTTCGGATGATGGTTGACTCACCCGGGCTCTTTCAAGCGGTGCCAGTACTGGATTGACTTTGATTGAGGATTGTGTGTCAGAGCATGATTTTTGCAACGAGTGCTCTGTGGGCATCAGAATGACATGCCAAGATGCAACACATATAGAGAGTTGTTTGTGGCGCGGCGCTACGGTTCTCCCCAAATGAGCCCCTTCAAGGTGCCATCCAGCCAACGAGCGACCTATGTACGGCTGGATGAGTCACAGCACATCCCACTTAAGATCCCAAACGGGATGCTCATCTAGCTAGGGATGTTCACTGGTCCGGGTGGTTCACCAAGTGCAGCTGCATGGCAGAGTTCGATCCAGAATTGGCCGTCCACGCACATGGCCGTGCCCTTGGTTCGTGCCCGGTGTTCTGCTTCGGCGGACAAGGATGCTGGAGTCGCCTTGGGCTTGTCACTGCTGGCCCTGATCGCACAAGTCGTGGCCCCTTGGCGATCACGTCTCGGGTCGGTTTGGGGTGAGACGCGTGGGCTGACCGGCAGGTGTGCTAGGCAGGTCTTTTGGTTCAGGGGTGTTCAAACAGGTTGAGGTGTGCTAGGCAGGTGTGTCGAGCGGGTGGAACGATGTGGAACGAATCGCAGATCGAATCGATCACGGGGCTTTCACTTGGACGCCGCCACAAGGTTCGACATGTGATGACCTCCAGCTGTGAGAGTTCCTTGTGGATTATCTCCTTGGTGTCTGGGCCGGGAGAGAAGGGCGACAGTAAGCGCGTGGTTTTAGAGCGCCAAAAAAGCTTGGAGATTGCAGCATGCAATGCATGCAACCACTTTAACTATTTGTTGTTGCCATTTGTTTGGCGAAGAGTGAAGCAGCAGCTCAGGAAACATGTTCTAACTCAGAAGAGTTGGGGGGAACGAAAACCGGAGTCTCTCTTCAGGTCGTGCTGATTCTACGATTCGCAGACTTTATATGCGGTTGTTGCTCCATCATGCGCCTCTTGACCTGCATGGCGGGGCCCCATGCATGAGTGAGGAAACTCCGCACAAGAAAACTGGGAAAACAGATTGCTCACATTTGTTGGATTTCAAGAGTGCCACTTTCTTAGGATTTGTATCCCCAAATGACCAAATGGGACTAACAGCGATTTGGCCTGGATACTTCGTGGCCGATAAAGTTTGTGCTGCACTGCTGCCTGCATGTGATCAAGTGCTAAGCGCAAACTTAAACATCGGGAACTTTTGCCCCCGTTGGTCGGGAAGCCATCGTTGGAGTCCATGTTTTGTCCGTTTGCTGTCGTCTGTCTTGTCAGTTGCTCTCCCAGACCCAATCATGTTCTTGTGTCGTTGCAGATGAGGGCAGTAGCCCCTGAGAGTCATCCGACTCGCTGAAGGAATCCACACGAATCGCAATTCTTCTTCGCACTGACTCGTGCAAATCATCCGTTCCCAGCTCAGGAAACCCTGTGCCCAGCCGGGCAGGATTTCTGTGTGACATTTTTAAGAATCTGGTACCTGGAACTGAAAATGGGAAGCTCCAGGGAGGAGGGAGGAACGTTTGGGCACCGACGACTTTGGTGGGACCGAACGTCAAGTCCTTCGAGTCCTTCGAAGACTTGTTACTACTAAGACTAGTAAGGCACTTGTTACTAGAAGCGATGCACTTGTTCCTACTAGATATCGATGAAAACAAGGAAACTGGACGGAACTCGTCAGATTGTTTTCACGGTCCTTGAGTACAGACGGCAGGACTGGGCAAGGTATTGTGAGTCTATTTGAGTCGTTTGGTGTTTTCACCGGGCTCCATCCATGAACTCGGCTTGACTGGTAGCAACGAGCACGTGGATGTGTGTGGTGGTTTTTAGGTTCAGCCTCATGGGTTGGTGACGAGTGAATTTCAGCATCGAGCCTATACGAGCTCCACACCAGGGGCCATGTGAGCACTGGGTGTTTTGTGTGTGTGTGGGGGGTGGCAGTTCCGGCTGTTCCATGTCATGGGTTGACACGGGTTACCATGTTTTGGTAGCACATGGGTTGCCTAGGGCCTATTATAATGTGGCATGTGCAGATCTGGCTGGTGGTGTTCTACCACCAAGCATATGCCACAAGAGTAGAACAAGGACATCGGCCACGTACCAGGATAGTCGGACAGGAAGAATGGCTCTACACGACACCATAGATTCATGTGTAATGTATTTTCCTAAATAAGCTGCCCTACTTTTCAACGCGCCATACACGTCGACATTTACCGTGTCTAATCCTCATCACCTCACTGGTGGGCTTGGTCTCATCGCTTCACCGCGAAGGTGATCACCTTTCTTCAGGGCATCGCTGCGCTGGTGCAGTTTATCCTGGGCATCACGTGCCTCGTTGGTGTCGTCCGTTGCGCCGGATGACCGTCCGCCCGGATGACCGTCCCGCGGTCCGTTGACCGTCCGCGAGAAAGAAAACAACAATTTCTCCACGAGGAGTAGCCTTCCAAAGATAGATTTAGATCTTTCGTGGTCCAGTAAACGAATCACCCCTTCCCCAGCAGGGTTTCGGCGAAGAAACGTCCCGAGGACGGTTGTTCAAGAAGGCTGTGCTTTGCAAGGGGGTATTGGAATTGGCTCTGGCATCCTCCTCGGCATTCAGGACTGTGGGCTATGTTCGTTCGTTCGCAGTTCCCAGAGGCTGAACATGGCTGAACCCAACCTCGATGCAGATCCTCAGACGGCTTTTAAAAATGCCAATCCGTTTCTCTTCTTCACCTCATGGATGGCCCTCCCCAGAGCGCGAGGCTGCTGAGGAGAGCTGCATTTGGACGATCGTCCTTTGTTTGTGGTGCGTGGCAGGCGCATTTTTAGGGCACGTGTGCGTGTGCCGCGTTGTTTACAGCGGGTGGGTGTTCAAGGGACGTAGAATAGGGAATTATAAGACCTGTGCAGGATCACACCCTCGAATGTCACCCGCACGTGTCAAAGCTTTGGTTGGGGACATGGAATTGAATGGATCAAAGCACTGACAGATTGAAACTGGGGAGCTTTGGAGCATCCCACCACCAAGCCACTTGGTTTGTCCACATGCGTTGGAGGTAGTACACCGGCTTTTGATGTGGATAATATATATATATATATTAGCCTCTTTGTGGAAAATGTCAATGTCCGAATAATTGTATAGTTCTCTCTAAAGAATCACAGATCTACAGTGAGTCTACAGTATAAATTCTTGCAAAAACAACAAGAGCATTCCGCATGCCGAGTTGCACCACTCTGAAATACTCTGAACACTTCTGGTGAGCAGATCCGCAAGCAGCCCACGCGGTCCCACTCGGCCCGGAGGCTCCTCTCCAGTCCCTGGATGGTTGCTTGGTTCGCAGGGACATGTGGCACAACTGAAGCTTCGAAGGGCCAAAGAGGGGATTCCAGGAAAGTACAAAATGGTTGAAACGATCCTACAACGACTTGATACATAATCATTTGGGAGGATCCTCATGTTAGGGTACACTCAAGCAGCATGAAGCGGCCAAAAACTGAGAGACATGGTGATGGCAGTGACTGAACATGTCAACTGATACACCAGAAAAAGAAAGAAAAAACGCCAACAGCAGAAAAGGGAACATCTTATGAGTGTTTCATTATGTTTCATTATTTTGTCCACATGTTCTTCTCCTCCCCAGTTTCGGCCCCCGGTGTGCAGCGCACCCGGAACCCTCCCCGAGGTGCGACAAGTGGGTACCCGAACGGGCAAAGCGCGAGGCGCGGAAGCACAGGACGCGGCTGGCGGGTTGCGGGTTGCAGAGCGGATCGGGGGATCTGAATGGGAGCCTTTTGGAGATGGAAGGAGCCCACGGAGTTCCTTAAAGGCAGAGTGTTACAGAAAACCTCTTTTTTCATGATAAGGGCCACTATAGTTGATGGATGTTCGTGGATGTTGATGTGTTCTTAAGATTCACTTCAGCTACGTTTAACTCGGCAGGTGTAGATATTAAGTTGTGTTTTGAAAGTATCCCAACTGCTCACAGCCCCTTGTGGAGGGATGAACGAGCCAAGCTTTCTGGCTTCATTCTACTGGCCACACGGTTTTGATGGCCAAGTTTTGTGAGGGCTGTGAAAACATGAGGAACTGAAGGTTCCAACATGATTGTGGATATATCGCACAAGCTGTGGTCCATCGTAAGAAACGGAGTTGACCCAAAGGACATGATCTCGATAGCATGTAGGAGTTCTTTCGTGCGAACCCTTTTCAAAAGAGTTGGGTCATTATTACACTAGTAAGTTCCCAAGGAAGTCATTACGAGAGACTATAGACTATAGTATACATAAGTGTCCAACAAGGCATTGATGTTTGTCTTTTGATGTTAAACCCAAGTTTGATCGTGGCTCTCTTTGTTGAGTGTGATTCTGTGATTCTCTGCTTTGCACAAGCTGTTGAGTCGAAGAGGTGTCGACAGAGGACAGGGCCGTCGGACATCTCCAGGAACAAGAAAGCAGTGAGCACTGCTTGAGTGCAACGGGGAGCTTGGTTTGCCGAAGTGCTTCAAGCCTTTGAGCCTCGCTTTACTTGTCTAATACACAAAGGTGGAAGACGAGGTGGAAGGTGGTGAATTCCATGTTCAGCTCAGATGTGGAGGTTGTTGATGGTTGCTGTGGTTACAAGCTTGTGGCAGCAAACAATTCAAGAAATGCTGGCGGTTCAACGTAGAATTATGTTTGCCCACTCTTGACTTTATGATCATAATCATGGCTTTGATTTGGCAGGAGGGATGTTGGTGTTGTACAGTCCCCTGGTTGCTCTATGCCTTGCAATGTTGATCCAATCAGGGCGCTTGCAAATCTGGATGATGGTGCTTGCTGGCAGGGCGTGGTGCGAACGGTTCTTGTTGTCAATCTCATCTCCCTAATTACCTAATTTATAGACTTGGCGTGTTCGCCAGCCGAAGCACAAGTCCACCGTGATGGTTTTCGCAAGTAGATTCTGCCGAAGGCATTTAATCTCGACCTGACACACCACCGAGGGCGGCTGAAACAACGAAAAGCGCGCGAGTAGCCGGAATCTCAAGGTGCTAAACACCCTATGCTGATCCATGCTGTTTGTTCATTGCTGTTCCAGCTGGTGTTCTTATGGTGTTGTTTTGCTGTTGGGCCCGAAGTAGAACATGCACAGACACATGTCAAATAGGACTAGTATCAATGAAAGGTCCTGATGTTTTCCACCTGTACGTTCTGTTTGAGCACCAAGCCTGGTACGTTCCCCACTGAGCATGGTAGGCCTTGGAGCGGGTGGCCAGCATCAGGAAGAAGCCCCGAAGGGCCCAGCCTCTAGAGGAGGCGTAGCGTTCCCTGGATCGCGCTATGGTTCCGAAGACTCATCGAGCTGTGGATGTTTGAGGATCATGTGGATCCTATTTCAGTCTGCAAGAGGAACTGGGACTTGACTTGCTGGAATTGATGTCAAATATGCAAAGGCATCCTCCAACAAGGGTTACTGTTTCTGAAAAAAAATAAACATCTAAAAACCATGCATATGTGTCATTTCCAGGCTTACACCAAAAAAAAGGAAAATGCAATGAACTGAAACGGTCGACGTTCGATGTTCAGTACTGCGAGGTTCGGAAGCTTTCCGCCTGCCAAAGAGGTATTTCACACCTGCTCCCTGTTGATGTCGGTGCTTCATTTGTGTCTAAGCTTGCACCGACTTTCCCAACAGTCACAGTTCCGCCCTCCAACCTAATAGCGATGGCCTCTCTCCTCGTAGCGATGGCCTCCAAGCTGCTGGTGATGACTCTCCAACCTAATAGCAATGGCCTCCACCCTATAGGCGTTCTTGAGAAGAAAACCTAGTTCGTCTTTTTCGTCCCTTTGAACTTGTAGGTCAAGAGACACGTGAAGTTGTGCGCCGTCAGTTCTTGCATCGAAGACCTTCAATCAAACACCAAAAAGGGACCCTGCTAGACATGAGCAAGTGGCTCTTCCCTCACACCTCGACTTCCTCCCAGAAAAAGAACAGGACAAAAAAACAGTTCAAATCCTTCAAATGTCCCATGAACATCTCCAAACCATCCATGAACATCTCCTCACTGTCACACCATTGGCTCTCCTGCCTTAAGACGTCACTCATTGACGTCTCTGTCGAGCAAAACCCCAACCTCGGTCCTCGTCCGGCTCCAGGGCTTTGCTGCTCCGCACAACCTGATGAAGGACGAGTTGCGGGACCTCTCCACTCGGCAGCCCAGCGGTGAGCGACCGAGTGTTGGTGTCAGAGGAGTTACCCACCTGGAGGGTGAAGTGCTTGACTAAACGCATGCATGCATTCTATTTATGTGTTGTTAATATGTAAATTTGAGTTCAGAACAGTAATCCACTGTTTGCCTTCGGCAAGAAACAAGAAGATCTTGTGATGTTTGTGTTTTTCTGCACACATGCAGTGCCTACATCTGAAACCAACATGTCCAGCACCGATCTTGTACTTTTGTTGGTTTCTGGGCCAAATGGCTGGCCGCACTGAATGAACAGTCAAGACCACTGGCTGGCGCAGGTTTATGAAGGTATCCTAGGGATGATGGCAAGACGGAAACGTTTTCCTAGTGTTTTGTATAGATTGTACTATCATGGGTTTCGCTCGACAGATCCAGCAATTTGGGGTCACCATGGATGAACATGAGAGATTTGACCATCTACCGTCGACCCCAACCTGTCAGGATACACTGATACATATACTGATACATGATAGAGATACACTTGTACAGCAGAAGTCTGCTGCCCGGTCAGGGTTGGACAGACGTTTGCCACAGGTGGCTCGCCAGCCCGGCCGGATGGCCCCCATCGTTTGGCGAATGATGGCGACACACGACAGGACCGGTGAGGTTGGGCAGCTACTAGGAACAAGGTTCGCTACTAGGGGCTCCTGGCATCGCTACTAGGAACAAGGACACTACTAGGAGCAAAGGGCATCGCGAAGGAGTTGCTGGTTGCATTGAAGAGGTTGGGTGGTGACCAGAGTCTGGCGAGCCCACAGGATTTTTGGCAACGGAACAGCAGATGGGCTGAAATTGTGGATAGACTACACATTCTAGATGTCTTGGCTCTAATCTCAGTCCATGGGATAGACATTCACCACTTGGGAGTGTATAGTCGGAGATTGATTTTCCTTCGAAGAGCTGCGTCCTCAAGCTATCCCGTTCCGCAGGACCATCCTCACCAATACCACTTCGACATGGTGGCGGCGGCCCAGGCCGGCAGAGCGGGGGGCATGGGTGGAAACGGTGACGAGGCGGCCACACAAGGAACCTCTTGTGATTCGAGGTTGGACACAGTATAGAATCATTTGGGATTAAGTTAGATTTGACCAAACAAGGGTTCTAATTAACGATGATTGTTACAAGCTCCTCTACCACATTGCAATGACAAGAACCTTTAGATTTTCGTCGCGTATGACTCCCCTCATGCATTTCAATTTGCAATAGATTGTCAGTAGATGGTTGTTTGCCGAGTATCCCAGTTGGTGCAAGTTTCCTCCATTTCAAGGGTGATCTACCTTTCCACTGTTCTAACTGTCGTAGCATTTCTTCCTTCCCCAGGCCGGTTCGGTTGAGGCAGCAATGGCTTCAATGGCTCTCTTTTGTACCACCAGGGCCATGACAATCCTTTTATGTGATGTCAGGTGTTTTGCATTTGGTACCACTGTATTTCATGCTTTTGATACTGACCGCGGCGTCACATACTGCAGAAGGCAGGGGCAAACATTGTTGATTCCAAGATCGAAGTGAATCAACATGACTGGTAGTCACTTAGTAGTCTTTCTTTTCAGCTGAGGTTTGCCACTGTACTCTTTTCAGTTGCGGAGTCGCAATGCTCTCACCCACATTCCTGTCAAGTGACAACTGGGTTCAGCTATCCTCCCACGAGGCCTCTGGCTTGCCGCAATATGGCCCTCGCCTTGGGCGTCGTTGGTTTGGTCGAATGGTCGACCACACCCATTCATAGGTGTTCCTCTTCATGTTGACACGTCCACAAGTTACAAGGCAGACACAGCTGGCCCATGCTGGCCTCACTTGTTCGTTTGTGGAATGATTAGGGGTTTGCGTCTCCGAAAGGCGCAAAAGCATTCATTCAGAAGGCCAATGGCCGAGACAGTGTGTTGGAACGACCTTTGAGCCGACTGAAGGACCGCTAGGTGTCATCACACCGATCAAAAAAGATCCCAAGGATACTAACATCCACCTGCCAGCTTCAAACCTACATTGGCTATGTCTCAGGAATCTTAGAGGACACTGTTTGTTCGTTCAGGTTTCAAGCCGTGTTCAGGACCTGCAAATCGTACTTCCTGTTTCATGCAGTACGTACTTCCCGTTGGTCGGCCTTTTTGGGCGCCTTTGTCTTCGCCTCGTTTTGGTAGAAACGAGTCTGCCTGACTCGCCTCACCTCCCCCCTCCCAGTGGGCGCTTCTCATTGGTGGGTGAAGCTCCGGCGAACTGCCAGGGATCCGGAGGCGCGGTGAAGGTCCGGTTGAGTCGCGGGTTCGGTTTTTGCGGTTCTGGGATGGCTGTTTGGTCCTGGTGAAATGGGAGTCATTAGGTTAAGCATGTTAAGCATTTGGTCTTCATTGTTAAGTTAGTGCTGCCTTTTCAATGTATCGAAACTTTTGTTGCACGCAGTTACCTGCACCACGGTGTAACTTTAAGCTGTGCGTCGGGAGCTCGATTTGGAGGGTCGGAAAAGTTTAAGCGTGGTTGAGAGTAATGTTTATATCTATTACAGCATAGGCATGTATAAGCTATTTTGCGAGGGCATCTGTAGCACCGCCAAACTTGAAGCTTTTCGTTGATGAGAAAAAGAACAAATTTGATCAAATGTGTTTGTTCGCGTGAGTACACATCAAAACAGTCAACACGCAGCAATGTTTCCCTCGACTGATAGGGGGCCTCCCTTTGAACGAAACCATGCATCCAAAGACGAGACGAAGCATTCAGCCGGATGTTGAAACGAAACTCCAGATTATTTACGGTATATAATTTAATATCTCCATAAATTCAAAGGGCGCAATTTGGACCTTGCAGGTGAAGCTGTGGACTCGAGATTGCTGCAGCGAAATCTATGGTACCTTGGCGTCGGACGCGGTTTCGCACAGGTACACGGGCGGGGCTTGTGTTTGCGATGAATATTTGTGAGCAAGAGATGTACAATACTGCTACTCACCCCGATCGTAAGCACTTCATCGTCCAGGCCAAGACTCATTGGACATGTGTCTTCAAAGTTTTTGTGACATATTTGTTGAAATTTCAGGGAAAAACACAGTCACAGGTCTTTCTATCCGGAAGATGAGTGTTGCCAGCTGCCCATGTCAACTGGAATACCATGTTATGGACGTCCCCTGCAGAGAGAGAGAGAGAGAGAGTGTGTGTATGAACACCTGCGGAGAACGGGCTTGTGCAATCTGAGAAATCATCACAGAAGGTTTGGGATAACAAGCGATTTAGACGAGGGATGACGAGGGTATGCATTGATCATCATTGATCCATATGAACCCCATTATCAAGTTGTAGACATGACTGATCAGAGACACTGGAAAAAGAAACGGTTCTTGCTCCGGTTTTCAGGTCGCCAGTTGTTTGTTCTCCTGGGCAACAGCTCCGATGTACGTCATGCGGCCGAGTGCGCAGCATTGGAGGTGGTTAGCCGGCAGGGCGCATCTGGGGAGAACATCTGAGCCGGTGAAGTTTGGGCATGGATTTTGCTCTATATGTTTCTGTTTATGTCTATCCCCTTCCTGCAGGTTTCCTTGGCAGGAACCGATATCTTCAAATTGAGGTTAATAAAAGGCTGCGGGATATTGGAAGATGTATGAACCTTTCAAGAACTTCCATACAACTCCATCTACCGCCAGCTTGAGACAGCAGCGATCGGATCCCAATTTCTTCAACACAAGTACCGTCCTAGCATGTCGAAAAAATAGACTTAGTGGCTTGGATCATTCTGCCAGGTTCCTTTGACATAAAATAAGATATCATAAGCTTATTGGATCTAAGTTCTTTGCTTCAGGCGGCACAGACTCGATCAACCAAGCAGTTGTTGTTACCCCTATTTGATGATTTTTTTTTACTTTTTTGTGCCTCCATGTTGCTTGCTTTGGACAGGTGCTTGATGACCAGCAGGTTTCGACCATTTGCCTCGGGACTGGAGAGTATCTCTTTGTGGAGGCAGAGCGTGCTTCCTGTGCAAGCCTTCATACTGTAGGAGTTCTTTTGTTCTTTTGCCTGTATGAATGCCAGAGACTACTCGTACTGAGAGACTACATCGGAAACATCAGTATATTATCTACCCTTGTGAGAAGAGCGTTCGTTGTTGGAACAAGGATGTTCATGATGGACTCCAAAAGACATGGGCCGCAGTCTTGTATGCTGAAGTATGCAGTCACCGGCCGCTTCTCATCTTCCAGCAGCTGATAACTTGTTGCCTGGCACCTCCGGCGTTAATTCCCAGAGCTCAGTTCCTTCGCTTTGAGGCAAGGCCCGGCCGGGCTGAAGCTGAAGAGGTCGCAATTCTGATGCTTCCAGAGGCGCAACGACGGACGAGGGCGCTGATGCGGGCGTTGTGGTAGACCTGGAAGTGTGGAGATATTTGACACTTTGAGTTTTATGTGGTGGTCAAAAGTCAATACCGCTGGCTATACCCATACTATAATACTTACCACCATATGCCTGGGGCCTGGGGTGCTGTACCTACACCATATTATATCATTTGCTGATCATCCACTTGTGGGTCTACCTCAAATTGAGGAAAATACGAGTCTGGAAGAGGGCAAAAGGCTTGAAAGATGGTCAGAGCTGTCAAACCCTTTCATTTCTTGGGAACAGATTCGAGACAGACACAACTGATCCGCGATGGGTAAGCCGGCCGTCTCAAAGCCCCTCTTTGTTCAGGATTTCATGTGTGAAAAGTTTCACGTTCCCAGCTTCGTCTTGACATTGGCCTACTAGCGATGGCCTCCAACCTACTAGCGCAGGCCTCCAACATTGGATTCTGATGTGTCGCATGCGACCAAACATGTAAAATCAGTGGTGCCAAAGCCGCAAGACCCGACTGCCTCATGTCGCGTTCGTCGTTTGGCACCTCAGGTCCGTGTGCTCAGCCGCGATTAAACGTGGCCCAAAACCTACCGACCCGAGCGGAGTGCCGCGTGGATGGGGTGTAGTCAGGGAAGCGGAGGAAGGCTGTAGCAATTTGCCCCTCCTTTCCCAGCAACTGGAATCCAGTCCAATCCCGATAGCAGCAATCTCGAAGAATCTCATGACATATTATGGTTTCACACGGCCCAACAACTCGGTTATACATATGAGGTGGGGTCAAAATAAGTGTAGACTACTTTAGTCAGGAGAGGTCGATGTGAATGGCTTAGGGTGAGGATGTATTGGAAACCGATAAGGTCCCCCCCAAAACCGATAACCTATGTATGATGGTATTTATTATCATTTTTGACAGATCCTTGCGGTACCTGTTGCATGTCAAATGAAAGCCCCATTGACAGTACCCTAGTGAGTGGCTTCAGCCATATGATATGGAATCAATATTTTTGTTGCTGTGTTGTTCTTTTTCTAATCTGCAACCTTTCATTGAAAAATCCGGATTCTATGTGGCCACTACGCCGATAACGAAACCGATAACTCGCCGATAACCGTTTGGATATGTTTTCAGCTTTCATAGCCACTTGCCCAGAGCCTGCTAACGAGACAACTAAATTCCCTATCGAAGACATTGGTCTAGCCTTTCTTCTTGAGAACTTACGTGTTAGTATTTTACATCCCAGCAAACAGAAGGCCGATAAAGATTAAGATAGAGATAGGTACGCCAAATTTCGCAAACCCACTCGAAATTGCAATGCTTTTGTCCGCCGCTGACAAGCGAGCTGTGAACAAGCTCGTCATCCATTGCTTCTGATTTCAGCGAGTAGGTAGCTCCGCTTCATGCATCCACAATGTAAATGCGAATGCCAAAAGCATCTGATTAAACAAAAAGCTGAAAACCGATAAGGTCTCCCCCAAAAACGATAACGATAAAAAATATCCTTAGCATAAATAATTGATTTTGACCGTGGCTCATATATTTAGATGTTTAGCAGTGTAAAAACCTTTAAAATTCTGCGATTCTGCTCAGGAATGCTCAGAATGCTTTTGGTCAATAGGAAGGATCAGGTCCAAAACCAGCTCCTCTTTCACAACGTCTTGACTCAAACATCATTTTAGCATTATGTTTTTTGATGTTTTTTGTATGTCATCAACTCCCCATCACCCCGTGTATGTAAATTCAGGATCCTCGACCCACGCAAGTGGCTTCTGCACAAGTGGAGTGGGCCTTGCAACCATGGGTCTTCAGAAGCCTGTTTCTTGTAGCCACTACACGTGTAAGGAAAAATGAGTTGGATCCTCTTGGATCAATTCAATGATCATTGGATTCGGAACTTGCCACTTTGAAGGTTCATGTTTTGGGGCACAGAGATTCATGTACTGTATTCCACGAGAACCTTCACTTTTGAAGAGGAGTTTATCAAGTCAGAGGACTTGAGGTTCAAGAGAAGTGTCTTCCTTTGCTGCGGCCGTTGAAGATCTTAAGCAGACTACGTTTCACCAGTATCTGAGCTGGCCGAAGATGTTGGGCCCACAGTTGACCATGGCTAGGTTTGTGGCCGGGTGGAATTCTGAGTTCTGGATGCATTCATGCTAAGCCACCGGCTGCTTGGCGCCTTCATGTCAAGCAAGCTGTTTCCGGTTCAATCTGTTGACCAGCCAGAAAAAGAGAGCTGCCAAAATTGAGTCTTCCTTTCTGTGATCTCAAAGTCAGCTGCATGGTTTTCTTAGGCACACTAGTCACTAGACATCACTAGGTTCTATGGGTCTTTCTCAGGATTTCTCAGCCTTCATTTTAGTGATTGGATTCCCTGCCGAGGCCAGCTGATGCTGTTGCAGTGTGGGGCCTTGGCTTCCGATCACCTCAAAGGATCCCCAGAGTTTGCTTGCTGAACAGCTATCTAAAACCCAAAGGATTAATGTGATGTTTACATGTTTTCTTACCACTTCCCCAGATCCTTTGGGTCCAACACACTTCTGCCCAACATCCGAAAAAAGGTGTCCATTTACCTTGACCAACTTCATCCAATTTCTATGCATGCCTTTGCGGCTTCAACACTCTTTTGCCACCCATGAAACAACAGCAACAACAAAGAAACACCCACTCAGAAATCCACTCACGCCTCTCGCCGATCGAAGACGGACACCTCATGACGGTTCCCTCCGGTCGGAACCGCTCAGACGGCCATGAGCTCTGGCCTCCCCGCCTCGCTGGGCGAAGGGCGCCAGGAGGGCAGCGCTGCGCTCAGCGCGCTGGCCGAGTGTCGGAGGCGCGGCGTGGGAGGCAGTGGAGGCCCAACCGTTTAGATATGTTGAGATGTTTTTGGGTGATTGGCTGTGCATGTCTTGGGGAAGATGAAGGAAATTTGTGTGTAAACCCTATGATATCCTACGATGTGGAAGCCTCGTACATGTGAGTTGTATGTTTAAGAAGCTTCTATTCTTGAAGGGGATTGGGAGATTCTGTGTAGAGATCCCGAGTGGCAGACTTTGGACATCGTACCTTTCACTTGGAAAATCGCTCTTGCTTTGTGGATGCTGTATTTTGGACTTGAAACTTAGCACTACCCGCTCTGGGGAAACTCAAGAAACACGTGCTCTTCCAACACCGGGCGCATGAAAAGGCACGTCGTCTGGGGGGGCTCCCTCAGCCAAAAGGGTCGTACAGGAGATGCCAGGAATTCTTCAAAGATCTGAGACTTATAAGACGCCCACACAGAATACAGTATGATGGAGTCAATATGAGTCAATGGTGTATTTATTGTGTATATGTGGATGTTTATGAGTACCATGGATGACTTTTCATGACCGCACGGGCTCTGGTGGTCTCCAAATAGAACAGTCATCAACAAAAAGGGAAACCCTCGAGCTGGACCTGACGGTGATGCTGAGCTCGGAACCGAGGGTGCCACTCGCGAGCCGTCGGGTGGGACGAGGCAGCGAGAGCAACAAGAGCAGTTGCTGTTGAAGGCCCAAGAGGAGCTTCAAAAGGCGGGATGGGCCTCTGCAACCCTTCCAGAACCGGCGAAACCGGAGGGGCATTTATTGTTCCGGAGATGTTTCGGAGGGAGTGCGGAGTGGAACTTAGAGGCAGATGCCTCCCACATGGAGCCGAAACATGTATATGTTTTTCAGAATGGGACAGTTGCTGATCTACCTGCTGGCAACTTGGACTGACGATCTGAGCTTGAAGGGTACATCCTGACATCTACACATGATCCAAAGTTTTGGAGAGTCCATCATCACCATGCATGCATCGCGAACCATGTTTCACATCTCGCATGCCACTGAAACCTCATCGAACTCCCCGAAGCGCTGGATCACACTTGCCTTGCCAAATGCACGCCCAGGCCGCGCGCCTTGCCAAAGTGGCGGGGGGCCTTGTCCGAGAATAATTGTTGACGTCTCTCAGCTGTCTATGGGTCCTTTTTGCAGCAGTGCGTCCACTGGCAGATGTCAGGACTATGTTAAGAACCGTTGTTAGTGCTGTATTGAAGCATACCAAGCAGGATTCTGCAGGAGCCCTGAGGATTTGGGATCTATGTTTTGTTGAAAGAACTGAAAGAATCAAGATAGAATTTGGGATTGTTGACGGAAGCCACCTGCCGGGGCTCTCCATGATGTGATCCTGTACAGGATTGACATGATACAGACATAATGACATATACATTAGCTAAATTCACTACATCGTAAATGACTTTTGAACGTACTTTACTGTCGTGGTGAACGTGTTGAAGTTGACGTGGTGCGTGCGTGCGAGCGTGCGTACGCGCGCCCGATTGGTGGGTGTGCGAGCGTGCGAGCGAGCGTGCGTGCGTGCGTGTGTGCGTGTGTCGGGTTGGTTTGCGACCATTGATGATATTCGATGAATTCTATGAGTTAACTAAAGAATGTTTGTGTGTTTTTTTGGGGGTCGGGACAGCTTTTTGATGACAACTGCCATGGCTCACTTGACACACTAGGCCATGCGGCATGGTATGGTTGATCTTGAGTTCTGGATGAAAAAAGTAACTGTAGGATTGTTTGCCAGGGCTGAACACACAAATAAAATGTTGGTATTGTTTGCATGTACTAGGATTTAAATTCCATATTACTAACGAGGTCCACTTTCTACTTTCTACATACAGTTGGACGATGCTCCAACCATTTTGTGAGATGATGGCAGTTACAGTTACACGCTAGACATTCAGACTGCCTGCTTTGGCCCGTGGGGGCTGCGTGTGGCTCATGGCTATGGCCCTGGCTCTGAATGATGGCCACCATGAGCAGAACTTGAAGATAGCAGTGCCACTTGCTCTATCTTGCTTTTCTTTGCTTTATCGTTTTCGATTGGCTTTGAACCGACGTGTAAAGCTAAGATTCTAAGATCCTGATGTGACGTGTGTCTGTGAACCTTCTGGGATTGTTTATGAAATAGTAATAGTCATAGAGTCATAGTCATAGAGTCATAGTCTTAGTAATAGTAATGAGTCGTCATGAGTCATGGGCAGCGGCATAGGAAGATGAGTGCAATGAATTGAATAATATGTTATGTGATACGATACAGTAATAATTTGATATGATATGATTCGATTCTATTTTTAACATTGTTTTTTGATTCTCTGACTCTGATGTGATATATGGACTTTAGAGGCGCTGTGTTGTAAAGTGAATGTCTTCTTGGGTTTGGCGAGACTGAAATGAGGAAGATGGCCGATGCCTTTGTTCGAGACCATGCTGTGCGGCGCAGTGATGTCTCAGAAGGAGGGCGTGGGCGGTGGAACAAATGGTTGCCTTCAGCTCTACTGCGCGCCGCGTTCCTCGCACTTAGATCACTCAGAACTCAGAACACAGTGTGCAAAGTAGCTATAGTAAAAAGACAGTAAGACATAGACGTGACATACACAGACAGTGACATAGACATGTTTGGCAGGTAAGCAGCTAAGCAGTTTCAATAGTCACTGTCACGGTCTCTGGAATTGGATGCGGGTGCCATTGCAGCATGCTGCATGCTGCTGCAGGTTTGGCTGGACAACATCGAGCGCTTTGGAAAGGAGTAATGCTTTGGCAAAATCTGTGACGTCCATGTCAGTGCAATCAGTTGCATATTGGCTACAAGGTTCAAATGGCTTTGTTGGACAGGCTTCTTGGTTTATGGAACGTAGGGAGTGTGGTAGTGCTGTGAGATAGCAG